TCTTTTCTTTCAATTTTTATCCACATGGGGTAATTTGTTTTTTTAGATCATTGACCAAGTTATTAATTCAGATCTGAAACCTGCTCCGTGATGCTTGATGCTTTAAAAAGTTTCTCAGCAGCCCTGGAAAAGAGCTGGGATGTATTAGGACCGTGTGAAAATCTTTGAATGCAACCTCTTCCTAGAAGGTCTTTGAATATATGACAGGTCTTGTTGAAATCTTTCAACTTAACTTTGCCCTTGTACTGAAAGGGGGCACGGGTGGCCCAGTCGTCTAAGGCACCATGATTCGCTGTGCAGAGTTGTGTCCCTTGGGCACGCCAGAAACCTACCATTGTGTGTTCGAATCCCGGTTCGCCCCGATTATGTTTCTAGGTTTGTCAGCACCATACCCGTGCTCGTGGGTTTCACCGAAGTGGTAAACGTCTGAGACCTGCATCACTTCAGGCTTTCCTCCCATATTAAGCTGATACGCCTTGATGTAACTGGAATACTGTTAAACGCCACGTTAAACCCAACTCACTCACTCTTGTACTGACTTGAAAAATCCTTTTAATTCTGTTGATTATAATGATGTTACAACTGATTTTCTTCTTGAATAACGTTTAATTTGTGCTATATTTTCTGAAACTAGAAACATCTTATATTTGAAACTATTTGAGTATCAGTGACATGCATTGTTTAACACTGTTTTCAATTTGATGTCACAAATAAATCCTGGTTGTATGTTATACAAGTGCAGTGTTATCTTGCAGTGCTTGGTTTTACCTAGGGTCTCAGTATTCTCGCCGACTTTTGAAACTGCCAGTCCTTGGGACCGGCAACAACAAATTACAGTCAGCTTAATGTGGGAGGAAAGCCCAAAGTGATGCAGGTCTCAGACGTTTACCACTTCGGTGAAACCAAGAGCACGGGTATGGTGCTGACAAACCTAGAAACATAATTGGGGCAAACCAGGATTCGAACCCACAATCATAGGTTTCTGGCGTGCCCAAGAGACGCAACTCTGCACAGCGAATCGCGGCGCCTTAGACGACTGAGCCACCCGTGCCCCCGTATTCGAATCAAGTACTGTATCAGTGTTTAACCTATGATAGTCCTTTTTTTCTGCAAGATAGATTATACCATTAGGGCTACATGAAGTACCTGCGTTTTGATTGGTTGAGCATAAACGTTTCACTGCCTTCATCCAGTATCAAGGTTCTGATTGGCTACAAATCAGTTCTGGCATCCTTCATGTGCGATCTGGCTAGTCATTTGCTAAGAAATTAGGTTATATAATACAGAAAGCTGACTCAAGGTTACTAATTTGAGTTGGGATAAAATGCCCTTGCACAAAGAGGATGCACAGATCTGTCACAGCTAGCTGTTGGACAGTGTCTGATTAGTTTAGTGGTACTAGTCTGGCTAATGTTTGAAGTGCATAATGTATTTGTGAAAATGTCCCAGCTTTATATTTTTATTTACTTATTTATATATATATATATCTGTTTATATATATATTGCTGTATTAGTACCATATGTGAATGGAAATAGTATCATGCAACCAAAATAACGTCTTCAGTAATAAAAGATTTTTTGTTAAAAAGTGCTGTGTTGAAAAATCATTTGATGATGTTTGCAAGAAATCCATATGAACATGTAGAAATTACTCATTGTACTCAGTGCATCATTTTTGTGGTACAAGAGCTGAGCAAGTGAGGCTTTCAGGTAATTATTGGTGACCTGGTTGTCAGTGACAAGCTCCTTTGCCTGTTCTAGATATTTCCTGGCCACTGCGGTGGGGCTGAGTAATGGGAATAATAAAAATCTTCATCATAATAATAATAATAATGTTTGTTGTTTAACGCCGCACTCAGCAATATTCCAGCTCTATGACATCGGTCTGTAAATATCCAGTCTCGACCAGACAATCCAGTGATTGACATCATGAGCCTTGATCTACGCATTTGGGATACGGTGACATGCATCAACCAAGTCAGCGAGCCTGACCACCCGATCCTTCAGTAGCCATCTGCGACAAGCATAGTCACCTTTGACGACTAGAAAGGGTTCCTGAAGACCTATTCTAACCCAGATCTTCATGTGTCAATAAAGATAGACATTTTGTTTATTATATTTATAGTGAATGCACCATAAAACACTCGATACCTGTTGGGTCTAGTCCTTGTTCCAGTGTGATGGGTGTCTGCCCGGAGAGAGGAAGGTCGATGCTTGGCATTAAGGGGGAAGTTACAAGGACTGGTCACCACGGGGTCAGTTTACTGTGTTGAAGTGGGGTATTTGTATTAAAACTGTGGCGTGGTATCTCGGTGGGTTATCATTGTTAAACCTAAGTAGATCCTAGTAGTACACACACACACACACACACACACACATCAAAATCAGATCTTAGTTATCGCTACCTCTAAACAAAGATCTGAGGACATCCCATTAGGGGTCACGTCAGACCGACCTTGCGCGAACTTTGACCGCAGGAACTTTGACCGACCAATGGAATGACCAATCAGAAGGCAGCTTTCTCGTGCTCTACGGCACTAATTTCAAATTGGCGACTACGCTTCGAAACATATTTTGACAAATTCTCGATAACAAATTTGAAACCTTAACAAAAGAACATTCTGGAATGGCTAATAGATGGTCTAGATTGTATGGATTCAGTCGTTAAACCCGTAACTATCGTTCGGAGTTTTGAGTTTTCGATGTTGCATGATTAGAAATCACATTCCGACTGTCACTTTCATAATGTGGTAAGCGATGCTCTGATTGGTTGGATGAAAGGTTGTTCTGACGTGACCCCTAATGGGATGTCTTCAGATCTCTATTCAGCGGTAGCGAGAACTAAGGTCTGATTTTAATGAGATTGACACACACGCACACGCACGTAATCTGGGACACTACCAAGAGTGTCGGGTGTGGTGACAGATGTATAGAGATAGTATGCGGAATCGATCGGTGCAGTTGTATATCACTGATGAAATCAGACCAGCCCGATATCTACTGTTTTGAGCACAGCATAGGTGGCTGTCACGACCAATGTTCACTGATCTACAGTTTGACACTCATGAAATATTGCAAAATGTAATGCAGAAAAAGTTCTAGGCGTGTGAAATTTAAAACAAAAAGCATGCTGCCCTATATGTACTCGAAGAAGGCAGTGTTCCTAGAATCAGTACACTTGGGTCCTATCTTAGATTCTGTACTCTAAGAGGTGAGTTGAAATGACCTTTAATGTCGCGTTCAGGACTATTGCACTTATAAAGGATGTGTCTGATTGTGTGGCCGCTTGTACTTGACGGACTAATGCCTATTTTATAGTACTAGCCATACTATAGATACCACGCCGCAGTTTAACATGAGTGAGTGAGTGAGTTGGGTTTAACGCCGCTTTAAACAGTATTCCAGTTATATCGCGGCGTGTCAGCTTAATGTGGGAGGAAAGCCCGAAGTGATGCAGGTCTCAGACGTTTACCACTTCGGTGAAACCCACGAGCACGGGTATGGTGCTGACAAACCTAGAAACATAATCGGGGCGAACCGGGATTCGAACCCACAATCATAGGTTTCTGGCGTGTCCAAGGGACGCAACTCTGCACAGCGTATCGCGGCGCCTTAGACGACTGGGCCACCCGTGCCCGCCACAGTGTACCGACTCCCTTGGGACCAGTCCTTGTTTTGTCCCAATAATGCCGAGTGCCAGGCAGGGTAACAACATGCACAAGATTTGGATTCAGTACACTTGGGACCTAAACGTACTGTCAGAAATGCTAGAAAAATTATTTTGTGGCTTTATTTAATAAATGCGAATGATAGGGCTATGAAAGTAGCATATATCAAAATAACGCAAATCGACCTAATTTAGCCTATCCTAGCTGACACTGTGATTAGCCTTAAAATGTTCTTCTACAGGTAAAAAGATGATAAACTTAGAAAATATTCGTGTGTTGTCATGTAAGTATGAAACCAATCTCACTAAAATCAGATCTAAGTTCTCGCTGCCGCTAAACAAAGATCACGTCAGAACGACCTTTCGCGAACCTTGACCTCCCACTGAAACGACTATCAAGAAGTCGACATCAGCCAATTAGAAAGCAGCTTTCTCGAGCTTTACGGCACTCGTTTCAACCTGGCGACTTCCATTTGAGACTACGCTTGAAAAATATGTTGACACAGTTCTCGATTAAATTTTGAAAACTGAAAAAACGAACCTTCCGGAATGTCTTTTATATCGTTGCGATTGTATGGCAATGCTTCCCACGCATTGTGTACAACGCCCCCTCCGTTCAAATGTTTATCCCACGCAAACGAGAGATAGACGATAATTTTGACAGAATCAGTCTTACGGGCCGTAACTGTCGTTCGGAATACCCGAGATCCGAGGTAAAATAGGTCTTCAGCAACCCATGCTTGCCGTAAATAGGCGACTATGCTTGTCGTAAGAGGCGACTAACGGGATCGGGTGACTTGATTAATGCATGTCATCGATCCCAGTTGTGTGGATCGATGTTCATGATATTAATCACTGGATTGTCTGGTCCAGACTCGATTATTTACAGACCGCCGTCATATAGCTGGTTTTAGACTTCCGTCATTGGTCTGTTTTCGTTTGGATTTTTCTCCTGTAAAATTGTTGATAGGAGTCCTTGTGACTGAAATACTTCAAACCACAGGTAGGTCGATCGTCAGTTATTCGATATTTTAATAGCAATAGTCTGTAAGAAAATATCCTTTTACAACGGGCAAAATGAGGTTTTCTAGCATTTCCGACAGTACTTTAGCTTATACCCTGTATTCTAGGGCTGTATGTAGTGAAGGTTGTACGCCGACAGATTGTGCTATATGTTGTGTCCGCCCGGAGGGCTGTACTATGTGTCCACACTCACGCAGACTCTGCTCCTACAGCTCAGATCTGCATACACCTGTAAGTAATGCCACGGTGGATAGACAGGGCGCCAGCTTTCCAACTGGTTGAGCAGTTGACAATGAAATGCTCCACTGACTTTTGCATTGATGTACAGCCCCGAGCACTAGGCTTTGTTCTCAACTCTCAACTGTCTCGAACACTAGACGCTGTTCTCAAACAGCTCAGAACACTAGGCCTCCTACACAAGATCAGTAGACAGCGTTCCCAACAGTTGGACTAGTGGACGGTACAGTGTTCGTGGCAGTTGGACCAGTAGGCGGTACAGTGTTCCTAACATTTGGACCAGTTGACAGTGTTTGGCATACATATTGGACCAGTAGACGGTACAGTGTTCGTGGTAGTTGGACCAGTAGACGGCACAGTGTTTCCAACCATTGGACCAGTTGACAGTGTTTGGCATACATATTGGACCAGTAGACGGTACAGTGTTCGTGGTAGTTGGACCAGTAGACGGTACAGTGTTCGTGGTAGTTGGACCAGTAGACGGTACAGTGTTCGTGGTAGTTGGAACAGTAGACGGTACAGTTGGACTAATAGACCGTGCCTGACATACATATTGGAAAGCTGTACTCTTAGACAGTTACGTTTACTGAGGCTGACGTAAGCTTGGGTTTGGTAACAGTACATCATGCCGCCATCTTCTCAGTTTGTTTGTTCGACACGTGCAAGACGCTCATTATCAAAACCTCTGAAGACGATGGTGGTCGGTGCAATTGTACTCAGCTGCATCTATTATGTCATCATCGGAGGCGATGGAAGCAAACGAAAAGAGCCGATGTTTCGCGAAATAGATGTTGCTAGAGATCTGCCGTTCGATGTTAACAAAGACGTGTTTGCACCGTTGAATATTCCAAAAACTGGAACACAGGTTTTAGTTTATTATATCACTCACAATTCTGATATCAAGCCTCGTTGTAGATTCTTCAAGGCTAAGGGCTTCATGTGTGTCTCGGCTACTAATTCAACATGGCTACTTGGCGAGTCAAAGAAGGGGTCAAATTGCGGCTCTAACTCGGACTGGACGGAGCTCACGGAGTGTATCGAGGCGAGATTTGGCGAGAACGAGGGAAAGACAGCGCCATCATCGTAAGTAACAACACGACACATACGACACCATTCGTGGCCAACTCGTGTTATTCCGGGACAAGCCGAATAGCGACTCGTGCCCCTCTCGTGGCCATTTTTGCGACCGGGTTCCGTCTTAACGCAAACGGGCATACCTAAAACAATTGTCAGCTCGTTGCGTAGTGGTTCACATATATTTCTCCATATATTTCAGATGCAATTTAAAGCTCATCTGGACATGCGGAATTATACAGTATGATTTAACACATTTAACTGTGTCTTGGGTATATTTTTAAATGCAAGACATGTTTGAAATCAAAAATTATTTCTGAGGGATTCTTTGACGAAGAACTTGAAATCATACGCGCATTCTGATTGGTTTGTCGTATTTTCGCACATAACATTCATCGATAGAGGGACGAGTCTTCTTGCAGGTAACGGAAAGGGGCGAGTGGTGACGAATGATACGACACAAGCAATTAGCAGCGGCCTTGGTACTGATAAATGTTTAAATTATATTCCAACTCTTATAATCTAGCGTCGACTGTCAGAATACAAGCGTTGCGTATGGTTTGTAAGCACCATACCGCCATGGTCGGCGATTTCATATAATGAGGACCCGTGAAGATCCGGGGTAGAATAGGTCTTCAGCAACCCATGCTTGCGGTAAAAGGCGACTGTACTTGTCGTAAAAGGCGACTAACGGGATCGGGTGGTCAGGCTCGCTGACTTGGTTGATGCATGTCATCAATCCCAATTGCGTTGATCGATGCTCATGATATTAATCACTCGATTGTCTGGTCCAGACTCGATTATTTACAAACCGCCGTCATATACTGTAATATTGCTGGGTGCGGCGTTAAACAACAAACAAACAAACAAACAAAATATAATGAGACACGTCTGTGACCAGCGCTTTCTTTCAACATTATTTGTTTTTTTGTTTTTCTGTTTCTTCGTTTGTTGTCTAGCGCCGCACTCAGCAATATTCCAGCTATATGACCACGGTCTGTAAATAGTCGAGTCTGACCAGACAATGCAGTGACTGACAACATGAGCATCGATCTACGCAATTGGGATACGATGACATGCATCAACCAAGTCAGCGAGCCTGACCACCCGATCCCTTTAGTCGCTTCTTGCAGCAAGCTTAAGACCTATTTAATTTTAATATAATTTAAATAATGCTAAATAGGAACCCGGATCTTCACGGGGGCTTCCCCACATTAAGCTGACACATCGTGACTCATTGTCCATATTGGCGATAATCCCACTCCCTCACTCACTCACCGGATTGTGAGATGAACCAAAGTAATTCTCTGTATAGGTTTGCATTTTGGTTGAACATCCTTCATTATCTCATTACTTATATGATTACTAATATGATATAATCTCTTAATACATTTTTTATCCTGTTTGAACCTTATGACGTATTCATAAGTAATAACATCTGGGCAAGAACTGATACATCCTCATTTAGATGGAGGGGCGTTTTTTAGATCAAGTTCGACTCTTCGTCGTTTTATTTGTGTGTGAATACCCACAACTATATGAGTAAGATATAGTAGATTCTGCTACAGCTAAGGGACAGTGAATCGAGGCAACTTAGTACCAGTGGTATTACGATTAATTGAGGCTCGTACATATCATGGTTGATACATGTCATCGGTCCCAATTGCGTGGATCGATGCTCATGATGTCAATCACTGGATTGTCTGGTCCAGACTCGATTATTTTAAAGACCGCCGTCATATAGCTGGAATATTGCTGAGTGCGGCGTTAAACAACAAACAAAACAAAAAATCATAGGCAGTGTTTCGATTGTTTGTGATCCATATTTTACATTTAGGAGTACATGCCATTCATATTATTATTATTATTATTATTACAGGTACCGTTACATAACTCTTCTACGAGATCCTGTTCAAAGGTTCATAAGTGAATTTCTACGAACAAAGAAGATTGTCAAGATCGCCGATGTGAACAGTTGTCATGGAAGGCTTCCCTCGCAACTGGAGCTTCCGGACTGCTTCGATGGAGCAAGCAATCTGACACTGGATTGGTTTCTGGCATGTCGTTCAAACCTTGCCATAAACCGTCAAACAAGAATGTTGGCAGACTTGCGGCTTGTTAATTGCTACAACAAGACGGGAATGACCGAACAGGAACGAGACAGAAGATTGTTAGAAAGTGCAAAAGAAAATCTGTTAAAAATGTCATTTTTTGGTTTAACAGATTATCAACACTTAAGTCAGGTTGTGTTTGAGGAAACGTTCCATGTTAAATTTCTTTTAGATTTTGAGGAGTTTAATGTAACGCATGCGAGCAAAGCAGTTATCTCTCCTAGCGACCTTGAACGGATTGCCAAGGTTAATCATAACGATGTTGAATTATATAACTTTGCTAAGTCACTGTTGATAGAACGAGCAATATATATGAATCTTCAGTAAAGAAAAGTAACGTGTTTTCCCTAGGAATCCAGGATCGTTTATTAAACATTTTAAATGGTACCCTTGACTTTGACAGTGTGCAATTACTAATCTTCATAAATATGTTACCGAGTAAGTGGCATGCAGACAAACTAGAGTGCTCCAATCATGGAACCAACTCGTATACCTTAGCGGAAAGAATATTTTTTTGGTTTGTTGTTTAACGCCGCACTCAGCAATATTCCAGCTATATGACGGCGGTCTGTAAATAATCGAGTCTGGACCAGACAATCCAGTGATTGACATCATGAGCATCGATCCACGCAATTGGGAAACGATGACACGCATCAACCAAGTCAGCGAGCCTGACCACCCGATCCCGTTAGTCGCCTTTTACGACAAGCATAGTCGCCTTTTACGGCAAGCATGGGTTGCTGAAGACCTGTTCTACCCCGGAATCTTCAATTACCGAGTAAGACGTAAATAGAGTGAGCCTTGGCACACATTGTGACCAACCGATCCACTTTTAAGTCACAGTGAGGTGCTCCACTGACCAAACTTCCAACGAGTCTAGTTTTCGCCATATCTGCAGCCGACTGTCATTGTTGTTGTTTGTTAGTTTAGTTCGGTGAAATAAATTGTTCGTGGAACAACGAACACGTCGCGGTTAAAAAGGGCTCGTCACGCCGAAGGCCCGGGTTCGATTCCTCATATGGGCACAGTGCGTGCAGTACTACCCCTGTCAATGGATCAGTGTGCACTCACATTGCAGTCTCAGCTCCCTGGGGAGTATACAAGCTGAGAATTGAATCAATTTTCACACTGATCCATAGACCGGGTTGGTAATGCACACATATATAGTTGCGCCTTGAACATCCGCTTGATCAGTTTATTTTGGCGCATTATAAATGGTTTATTATTATTATTATTATTATTATTATTATTATTAACAACATATTATAATTTTAAAAATGCAGCAAAGAGGGTTTGAGTGATCCTGGCACAAGTCAGGCTGGTTAGGCTCATCATCAGCTCAGGGCCCTTGCCCCCTCTACACGCAGCCCAGACAGCGAATGGGACTTCTCCCAGGAAGCGCTGCCGAGTCGAACCCACCCAGAACCTTTTGGAGAAAGTCCAACACTGCAGCCTTCTGCATTATCCAGATTGTCATTTCGAAAGCGAGGTCCGCATATTTGCCATGTTTTTCCTGAATCTTGTCAATCACATAAGATGATTTCATTGGATTCATAAAAAAGAACAAGATCAGGTTTGTTGGCCTCGATACGTCTGAGGCTGTATACGGGCCTATTCCAAAGAAGTTTGTATTTATCCTTTTCCATGACGCCCTCTACATATTCTGGGCCGTACCATGGATGGACCTCAGTGTCAAAGCCACCAGTAATAATAAAATGATCGAGCCACTCCATCATGTTGCTTAATATACTGTGTTTGTGCCAAAAGCTTAGCATCCACTGACAATGTGTTGGACAGTCTCATTTAATTCATCGCATACATTTATTGCATAGTAGTAATAGTAGTACCGTAGTATTTGTGGAGCTCATTGCTGGTCTCGTGATATCCAGGAATATTGCCTCAAACCGCGTAAAACTATATATTGAGTGAGTGAGTATGGTTTTACGCTGCTTTTAGCAATAATCCAGCAATATCACGGCGGGGGACACCGGAAATGGGCTTCACACATTGTACCCATGTGGGGAATCGAACCCGGGTCTTCGGCGTGACGACCGAACGCTGTAACCACTAGGCTACCCGACCGCCCTATACACTTACAATGAATTTGCTAATGTTCAAGTAATGGAAAAAATATATTTGCGTACGCGGGCGTAAGACCACAACATGCATTTTTAATGTTAAAAAAAGGTCTTAATTTCATTTCTGTGAAAAACACAGTGTATAACAATTTCTAAACGTTCGCTCGTATCATTCAGATTTAGTCAGCCAACACGTTCATCTCCACCTCCGTTATCCGGTCTCCAAAGGTTTGACATTAGGCACCATATAAATAAATGAATTATTAATAATCATAAAGTACATAGTCACATACTATCAGGTGTATCTAATATTAAACATGTAAGTAGTTATTTCCCCCATTAAGTTTTAACCTTGATCATACGTGATAGTCTGTCACCACATACTCGTAGAGCTTTTAGCAGACATAACGTGAAATAATTCATTCATAAAATTCCCTATACTAATTTTAAATAGTATTACTTCATATATTCTCATTGAAAAGAGGTTTTGTAAAGTATTTTAAATATAATCAACGTCTGTGAATTGGGCTTTGCCGCCATTTTAATGAAGACAACTCTAGTGTGCATTTCACACAACAACCCCTCCCTAAATTTTATTCAATAACCGCTCCCTACGCGACTTGCACGAGAGGCCGGGCTCCGTCTATAGGTCATCAACAGAAGCCCATAGAGATCCCGGAAGCAGCTTGCCGCTCTGTCCGTGTTGATGTTATTACAGATGTTGCTGATGTTACCGATGCGCTTTTGTCCGCTAACACAAAGGAGCATATCATACCAGACGTGTGAGGTGCAGTTCATGTCATGCTCCTTTGTTAATCGCAAGAGCTGATTAGGAGACAAAACCACAGAACGATTACGGAAAAGCTCAGTTCACAGTCTCAATTTTCTACGGTAACCTGTGCGGACCATATTTATGTTCGACGAAAACGCTTTGGATAAATTTGGATAAACACGCAATAGCATTGTACATTTCATTGTACCCACCTCGCTATCTCTTTTTCTGTTCAGAGTTTGTTCACTGGCGTAGCTGTTTCAACGAATACTAGATTATGAATGGAAATAAATCGAAATAGGTTAGATAAATTTCACCTCTACAACACCTGCTTTCTGATATAAAAAGGCCGTGAATAGATTGCAAAATACTGCAAAACGATCCGGGTCTCGTTAAGCGCTTGTCTGTCAAACATGAAAAAGCAGCCTCTAGCCTAATAGTATTGATCTGACGAAGGTTCCCAAAGCATATTCTGCCTCGTGTTGAGGCTTGCGCCACTAATCTTGACAAATAATCAGACCCACAGCGGAGTGATCCAGGTGACAGGTGACATGCCATTAGAGCGTCACGTCAGGATACCGGTGTCCGTCGCAAAGTGAGAACAATATGAAGGTGAAGCTCTACTACCAGCTCGGAGGGGTCGTGCTGCTTTTCGGATTCACCGTCTATCTGCTTCATCGATATATCAGCGCTTCACATCTCGACGAAAGAAATATGGGTATGCTTTCACAGGCTTATACTAAACTAATAGTTTAAATTACCATGTGATCTGTTCGTGTTAATTTTTAAGATTACGTTGCCATCAATATGGTATGCGTGTCGGAATATCTAGCCTGTCTCTCAGACCCTAAACTATTTTATTTTCCCTTTCGCAAGGCCTCACTGTTATGCTAAGGCCCCAAATCAGCGGAAGAAACTAACATTTTTTTTGTCCACTAGTCCTGATAATGATAACATAGAGCAAAACCCTTAAAAATGGCAGTTTGACAAGGACTACAGGAGTAGTGCCAATTTCTAACGCTGAAAATGAAACAAGTCTAGATTTTCCACAGGTTCGGACCTCAATGTGGCTCCTTTTCAAAACTGTATTTTCAGAGACGAAGCGTACTGAAATTTGTGTCTTTAAGTGATTATTGCCTAAGCGCCAGCACGTTGTAGTAGTATTTATTTAGTATTTAAAGATCTTTTTCTTTGACTGTCAGCATAACTTTTTTTTAATGTATATCAATTTAGATTTACATTTGGTCTCTGTATGTGAGGGGCGGTCGGGTAGCCTAGTGGTTAAAACGTTCGCTCGTCACGCCGAAGACCCGGGTTCGATTCCCGACATGGGTACAATGGGTGAAGCCCATTTCTAGCGTCCCCTGCCGTGATATTGCTGGAATATTGCTAAAAGCGGCGTAAAGTCAGACTCACTCATTCTGTATTTGAAATGGGTACTAAAATCTTAGGGATCATACATCATCATAGGCAAACAAATGAGGTCATAACCACTTAACCGGACAGAAAATAAAAAAACATGCTTATTACACAATCAAGGGTTTTTCTCGTTTGTATGGAAACTTAGTGATGGACTTTCTGAACATTTCGTATAATAAATATCTAATCAATCTTAAAAGCTCCAATTTGTTTAGTTTTAATCTTCAGTACTAAGACGTACTCAGTGTTAGAAAGTGGCACTAGTCCTGTAGTCCTTGCCAAACTGCCCAACAGTTAAGGTATCATGAGGACGAGTAGCAATTTGCCATTTTTATGGGGTTTGTTAATGTTATCGTTATTAGGACTAGTGGATTAAAAATGTTTGTTTCTACCGCTGCGTGCTTTGGCACAATGTTCATCCTACTTGCCGACTACACAGAATGATTGAGTTGGGTTTTATCGCTGCTTGTAACGTCTTTCGGTTGTATCACCGCGTGTCGGCTTAATGTGGGAGGAAATCCCGAACTGATGCAGGTCTCAGACGTTTACCACTTTGGTGAAACCCAGAGCACGGGCATGGTGCTGACAAACCTAGAAACATAATCGTGGACGATCAGATATTCGAACACGGATAATACAAATTCTGGTACACATGAGGACGCATTTCTGCAAAGAGAACTGCGCGCCTCAGACGATTGGGCTACCCGTGCACCCATCTGCAGAACTAGAAACACCCGATACTACCCGAAATCTTACGTTGGACACGAAAGTGATATGGAACCGTTTGAGTAGACCTTCGGAAAAATGAGTTTATTTACGTCGATATCTGGATTGTTTAGACGTTGTCGTACAGCGTGGCTGTAACCATGTGGCTGTAATATTTCCGATGCGACGTTACTCATCGTTTTATAAATATTTTTGTGACTCATTGGCAACAGCTGGTAAGTGTATCACCAAACAATATTATTAATGTTGTAAATTCTGCTTAATAAAACCTGGGACGGTCGGGTCGGGTCGGGTCGGGTAGCCTAGTGGTGAAAGCGTTCGCTCGTCGCGCCGAAGACCCGGGTTCGATTCCCGACATGGGTACAATGTGTGAAGCCCATTTGTGGTGTCCCCCGCCGTGATATTGCTGTAATGTTGCTAAAAGCGGCGTTAAACCTAACTCACTGCTAAATAACCCAGAATTGTGTTTATTGGAACGTTTCTGAATTAGAAATGTAGATTGGTGACGTGTGTGTGAAAAGATACGGCTTACCTTGAACTACGTGAAAGTGTTTTCCAAATGTTTTCAGAGTTCCTGCAAGTCAAGCTTCAGGATAAGCCACGCTTCCACTCCCCGCTTCTCAAATTCTTCCAACTTCATGATCCTTTTGACATCAGATGGCAACATGCAACATCATCCGATCTGGATACAGCTGGTACTTATGTGGCAGTAATTACAATCAGCGCATCAAAATGCTATCATCGAACTCGGAAACTATTATGTTTCATTTCAAAGAGATCCTTTTCAACAATAATACCGCCTCCGTGGTCCTGGGGTAGACCGTCCGCCCGGAGAGCGGAAGGTCCGGGGTTCGATCCCCGGCCGCGTCATACCAAAAGACGTTAAAAGATGGTACTTGTTGTTACCCTGCCTAGCGCTCGGTGTTAAGAGGCTAAAACAAGGACTGGTCGGCTCGGAGTCAGTATACTGTGTCTGAGTGGGGTATTCATGTTAAACTGCGGCATGGTATCTCAGTGGGCTAGTAATATAAATCGGCATCAGTCCGGACTAGTACAAGCAGCCACACACACACACGTCGCTATATAAGTGCAATAATCTTGGACGCGACGTTAAACCCAATTTCACCTCACCTAACCCTTTAACAATAATCTTTAGTGTCAGTTGTTGACCGGGAAATAGTTTAAGAAGGATATAATGGTTTTTTCATCGGGTTTTGCTTCAAATATTGTGATTGTAACAAATGTTATATTTGGGATAACACTTTCTAAGTAAAGTACAGATTCTTGTACTTTTTTTGGGTTGAATCCCGTCCGAGATTCGAACCCACACTTGCCAGAGGGAGGCACCTAATCGCCAGCACACAAAGTCAGCGATCTAACCCACTCAGCCACAGAGGCTTCCACAAAAATGAAAGTCCGACAACTGGTAGTCTAGATCACATACTTTTAGTACCCCTCTGCAGGCAAGGGGGTGTGCCTCACTCTGGCAAGTGTGGGTTCGAATCCCGGACGGGACTCAACCCCCCAAAAGTACAAGAATCTGTACTTTACTAAGAAAGTGTTATCCCAAATATAACATTTGTTACATTTGACCACTTGACCACGTGATCACGAATTTATAAACTTACATATGGACATTTTCCCATGTTATGAACAATTTTGAAAATACGCATTTCCGGTAACATAATATGTAATATGTGGATGTTCTAGAAAACTTTGATAATTACGTTGTAGGGGGTGACCGAATGGTGAGCGTTGACATCGACAGCAAGATGACTCTCGATCTGTGGCTGGACCACGCCAGGAAATTACGGGACGTGGGACTGAAGCTTAACTTCAAGGTGAGGTAACACTGAGTTGAAGTTTAGGGGAACTGTGTAGTAGAACCTCCATGGTGATACCGAGTTAAATTACGTTTTCAGGACTTTCCCAAGAGACGAATTTAATGATCACCGAGTGGTCACTGTTTGGTCTGACTGATTGTGTGTTATCGTTATGAAACAGCATTGTTTCCTGCTCATGCCGTCAACCATTAGTTTGCCTGGCTCCACCTCCGTGGGGATTCAGAGGCAGCATATGTCTCAGCCAATCACTGTCGTAAGATGGGGGCTGGGATGTAGTGTCTGACTCTCTGAGACGAAAATACTGAACAAAAATTGTTATGGATCATTAATATTTTTGGGGAGATGTTTGTGTAGCAATGACTGAGCACACAATTTCATAAAAATATTCTCCAAAATATTCATGATCCCAAACCTTGTTTCTTCAGTATATATTTTTGGACAATGTTTCAAAACACGTGCCGTCGTCTAAGGCGCCGTGATTCGCTGTGCAGAGTTGCGTCCCTTGGACACGCCAAAAACCTAAGATTGTGGGATCGAATCCCGGTTCGCCCCGATAATGTTTCTAGGTTTGTCAGCACCATACCCGTGCTCGTGGGTTATCCGAAGTGGTAAACGTCTGAGACCTGCATCACTTCGGGCTTTCCTCCGACATTAATCTGACACGCCGTGATATAACTGGAATAATGTTAAAAGCGGCGTTAAACCAAACTTACTCACTCACTCTTTATCCGAGGAAAACAGTACTCCGATGACTGAGCTTGTGCTTCTGTTGCGTCGTCTGCTCGAAGAGAGCCACGAAAAAAACAGCGCCCTCTATGAGAAGCAGTCAAATTAGAGTAGCGTCCCTTGAATATTATTTCCGAAATGCTTCCTGACGCGCCAACAAAGTTGGGCCAACGTGAGAAATCCGACCGCAACATTGCCGACGTTGGACCAACGTCTGAATGCTATCTGGGTATTCACGGTAAGAAATAGTAAGCCGTCTGTTCGCCTGAAAACCAATTCCAACTGAAGTATTCCCTGAATCCAGGTTAAAACAGGTACCGAGAGGCGACCAAATGGATCAGGTCTGGTTCATAGCATGCCGTCAATGATTGATTGTTTATTATTCAGGGTTCTACGCGACGCAGAAATGTGCGTCAAGTAAGCACACGTATAGAATGGTCTCCACAGATCTTCTTCATTATGAATTTAAATATTATTACAACAATGACAAGGTTGTCTTCAGCAACCCATTCTTGCCCTAAAAAAACGATTATGCCAGTACGAGGCGACTAACGGGGTTGAGTGGTCAGACACGCTGACTTGGTTGATGCATGTCATCGTATCCCAATTACGTGGATCGATGCTAATGATGTCAATCACTGGATTGTCTGGTCAAGACGCGATTATTTACATGTAGACCGCCGTCATAAAGCTGGAATATTGCCGGAGTGCGGCGTTAAACAACAAACACATACCAACTACACCATTTCATTACACTCACATTTCCTTTAAGGACCCTTGAAATTAGTAACTGGGGGTCCTCTGGACCCTATGGTTTGTCATCTTCCCGTCCGTTGGACCGCCTCCGTGGTCTAGTGGTAGAGCGTCCGCCCAGAGAGCGGAAGGTCCGGGGTTCGATCCCCGGCCGTGTCATACCAAAAGACGTTAAAAGATGGTACTTGTTGTTACCCTGTCTGGCGCCCAGCATTAAGGGGCTAAAACAAGGACTGGTCGGCTCGGAGTCAGTATACTGTGTCTGAGTGGGATATTCATGTCTCTCAGTGCGCTCCGGACAAGTACAAGCAGCCACACACACACGTACATGCACGTCGCTATATAAGTGCAATAATCTTGGACGCGACGTTAAACCCAATTTCACCTCACTTTATTTAGTCAGTTAACTCTCTTGCCTCGGGAAGATGATGGTTTGTGGGTCAAGGTGAAAGCCTGAATGATATTTATTGTTTGTTTCAGAACATGAGCGTGCTCGAGACGTGTCTGCTCCATCTCGACGACAACGGTTACAACATTCACTACCCCGTCATCGTCCACGGCGATGTCGCACTCGGTAACGCTGAAGAACAAGGCGCGCTCCTGGCAGATGTGTGAGCCACTGCTACCTCATATTTTTAGGACAGATCAATTTGTTTTCTTGTTTTATCATAAACGTGTTAAACAAACCAACAGGCCAAATAATATTGTGTTTGGGTTGACATCATACGAATATCTATCAGTGGCCTAGTGGATAGGGTGTCTGCCCGGGGAGAGGAAGATCCCTGGTTCGATGCCCGGCCGCGTCATATCAAGAGACGTTAAAATATGGAACTTGTGTTGTCTCTGCCCCGAGGTCGATATTAAAAAAAAGGACTGGCCAGCTTTAGGTGTGTGTGTGTGTGTTTGTGTGTGTGTGTGTGTGTGTGTGGGGGGGGGGGGGGGGGGGGTGTCCATGTTTAACTGCCGCTATAATACTACCATTTGTAGAACAATCAACCACACACACCTGCGTGTTCGTCGTTTGAATGTCATAAACTTACCTTCTGTTGAAAAAAGATTTCTTAAACATACTTGTAAACACATAACATTACAAATTGCATATTTTTGTCAATCATTTAATTAGAACAGTTAACAATGTTGTCATGAACTATATTCGTACTGAAAAACATATTTTCCTCTGGATTTAAAACAACAACAAAAATGTTCTCTGGGGGTAAGGAAAACTAACGCGTTGTGATTTCCTTTCTTCTTCTCTCTTCAGAGAATACAGGTTTATGCCTTGACCTGTTCTGTTTGTTTGTTTGTTTGTTTGTTTGTTGTTTAACGCCGCACTCAGCAATATTCCAGCTATATGACGGCGGTCTGTAAATAATCGAGTCAGGACCAGGCAATCCAGTGATTGACACCATGAGCATCGATCCACGCAATTGGGATACGATGAGATGCATCAACCAAGTCAGCGAGCCTGACCACCCGATATGCCTTGAAGTGATAACAGAAGATGTATTCTCTCTCCAACAAATATCCCAAGGCTCCCCAACATATTCAATCCAACACCTTGCTCAGAGTAGTTTGAAATAGGATTTATTTAAAATTCACTTAAAGTTTTGTTGTTGCAGATTCTTCTTCAAAATACGAACGTCATATCCGTTAGTCACGTTTAGTGTCGGCCATCTTCCCACCTCCGTCACCAACACAGTGCACCAGATGTACATGGAGGCCATGTGGAAACAGCTCCGCAACTTCAAACAGCCCATCTTCATCACTGTCTGTGCATCGGTCATTAGAAGGTCGTGGCTTCCGGTCAAATGGCTGCTCAATCAGTCCCAGAATATTTCATTGATCATTACATATTCCTCTGGTAATGACGTTTGTTCCGAGGTGTCAGTCTTTGACCTTTTGTTCGTTTGGAATGACTATCCGAAGGAGAGGGTGTTTTTTGATATACCGGAAGTGAATATGGAACGCTTCCGCGCAGTCGCAACCACAGCAGGAAGTCCTCTGCATTATTTTGGGTTACAAGATGCTGCAAAGGTTACGTGGGCCCATCGCGTGACAAATCTGAAGTATATGAACGAGGCTATTAAAGGTAATGGTTTTTTTGTTAGGCTGACAAAAAATACGGAAGCCTTTTAGGGCAATTTGTTTATATTTTTTTCTTAAAATTTCAAGATACTAATTTGAAATTTCAACATAATAATTGAAATTTCAACATAGCATTTGAAATTTCAACAGTATCTTGAAATTTAAATATTCTATTTTGAAATTTTCAGATGCTATGTTGAAATTTCAAGATGCTATGATGAAATTTCAAGATTCATACTAAGTTGAAATTTCAAGATAATGATAGCAGCACGGTCACTGCTAAATATAACCGCTGGCAGTCACCTGACTGTGGATTCTTGCCCAGATTGTCATCTCGTGATCAAAACTCGATGACCGCCTTCGAGGTCTAGTGGTAGAGCGTCCGCCCGGAGAGCGGAAGGTCCGGGGTTCGATCCCCGACCGCGTCATACCAAAAGACGTTAAAAGATGGTACTTGTTGTTACCCTGTCTGGCGCTCGGCTTTAAGGGGCTAAAACAAGGACTGAGTCAGTTTACTGTGTCTGAGTGGGGTATTCATGTTAAACTGCGGCATGGTATCTCAGTGAGCTAGCACTATAAATTATGAAGCCTGATTGATGTACATAAAAAGGGACCAGTGGAGATCCGGGGTAGAATAGGTCTTCAGCAACTCATGCTTGTCGTAAGAGGCGACTAACGGGATCGGTGGTCAGGCTCGCTGATTTGGTTAATGACAGTCACCGTATTCCAATTGCGTGGATTTTTTTTAAGCAAACAAGTAACTGATTATCCTTATTGAAAGTTGAGTAATATATACCCCTTGGTTGTTGGTGCTCTATGTAACACTAGTATTTGCATTTTTACAGGTGACGTCATGTTCCTAGAAGGTGACGTGCTGCTTGAAGGCCACGACTCCAAACATGACACCCCTATTCCTATAATGGCTCATCCACCGGAAGTACATAGTGACCTGAGGGTCAAGGACTTCTTACATATGGCTTCAGCTTCCGGTAAAAGCATCAAGCTGGATTTCAAAAGCTTGGAATCTTTGGAACCATCACTGAGTCTTCTCGCAGAGATGCATAAAGAGGGTGGGATCAAAGCGCCTGTGTGGATAAACGCGGACATTTTGACAGGTCCAAATACTGACCAGAAAGGACTGAACGCGAGCGTCTTCCTCTCAAAAATAAACACCATTTTCCCGGAAGTGACAATTTCAATTGGTTGGACAACGGAATGGTTGCCAACTGGTGATAACGCGGGTTATTCGTTCCCAATGGTACAGACAATGAACAAACACGCCATAGTTTTGCGTCAGCCAGTCACGTTCCCCGTTCGAGCCTCACTTGTTCGAAAATCATGGGAGAACCTTGATTGGCTGTTACACCAGTCACGTGGTTATTCGTTAACTGTTTGGACCCCTTCGCCAAATACGGACGTTGTGGAATTAGAAGATATGCAGTTTGTCCGAAAGCATTCCGAAGCAACGAAAGTTTATTTTGATTTGCCACAGGATTTGATGCCGACATGAGATACAATATTTGTGAATTTACAAGACACGCTTTCTATTGATGTGGTATTCGAATGTATTAGACTGTAGGGCAAGCTTTTTAAGAGAACGGAGTGTTATGAGGGTGCAATACTGACAATACTCGACATTCGATGGGGATATTCTGAGTGGCTAGGTGGGGGGTAAATCTGACTGGTTGTTTGCATCCTCTATATTTCCTGGGCTCGCATCTCGGTAAATCGACACTACTAACACTGGCTCCATTCCTGTTAGACCGCCTCCGTGGTCTTGTGGTAGAGCGTCCGCCCGGAGAGCGGAAGGCCCAGGGTTCGATCCCGGGCCGCGTCATACAAAAAGACGTTAAAAGATTGTACTTGTTGTTACCCTGTCTGGCGCTCGGCATTAAGGGGCTAAAACAAGGACTGGTCGGCTCGGAGTCAGTATACTGTGTCTGAGTGGGGTATTCATGTTAAACTGCGGCATGGTATCTCAGTGAGCTAGCACTATAAATCGGCATCAGTCCGGACTAGTACAAGCAGCCACACACACACATACACGTGCATGCACGTCGCTATATAAGTGAAATAATCTTGGACGCGACGTTAAACCCAATTTCACCTCACCTCACCTCCATTCCTGTTGTTTTAGCGATCTCAAATTACCTGCCCTTGATTTTAATTAACATTTTACCGACCAATCAAACGTCGACATAAGGGTGAGGTGAGGTGAAATGGGTTTTAACGTCGCCTCCAAGATTATTGCACTTATATAGCAACGTGCACGCGCGCGTGTGTGTGTGTGTGTGTGTGTGTGTGTGTGTGTGTTTGTGTGTGTGTGTGTGCTTGCTTGGTTGTACTAGTTCCGACTGATTTATAGTGCTAGCCCACTGAGATACCCCGCCGCAGTTTAACATGAATACCCCACTCAGACACAGTATACTGGCTCCGAGCCGACAAGTCCTTGTTTTGGCCCCTTAATGCCGAGCGCCAGACAGGGTATCAACAAGTACCATCTTTTAACGTCTTTTGGTATGACGCTCGACATAAGGAAAAAGGAAAAAAGACATGGCGACATCCTTTTCATTAAAAAAAAGATTTTGAGGGATTTCTTTCGCGTGTCCGCCAGTTTTTCAATGTTTTGTTTCTCGCAAACTCTGTCGTACTCAATGGGGCATGTTGACATGACCAACCCAACTTTGAGGCGGGTTTGTAACTTGCGTTCTGATTGGTCCGTTGAATGAGTAGCGTAGCTAATCAAATTGGCCCAAATAAAGGAGTGTTTGTAGGTTTACCGAAATGTGACTCCTTGAGACATATGGATGGTGAGTTGTTGGTGTACGCATTGGTCGGATTTATTCCCAATCTGGACACCAGGATATCAAATGTATGGTATTTTATATGCTCAAATTACTTATGTATATGTATAGTACTAAAAAGGTCAAGGAATACGCGATTCTTTCATATTACCGTAGTTAATCTGTCATGGCACAACAGCTTACTTATAGTAATATGAATTATTCGGGTGGTACTTTAATATCTCTTTTTGAGTAGTATTGATGGTTGTTGGTCATCTCTTAGTCCTGCACCATGACCGTGGAATATATTTATTTTATGAAAAAAAAAAAAATCTAGAAATGCAAAAGCAAGTCTAGCCAGCTCAAGCTAGCTCTATTCCACAGAGCGGACGTACTTGAGGTCATACGCACATTCTGATTGCTTTGTTGTATTTTCACACATGACACTCTTCGACAGGGGCACGAGTCTTCTTGTAGGTTATGGGAAGGGCCGAGTGTCGACGAATGCATCATGTACATGTCCGATTGCTTTTCGTAACTTATTAATTCGGCATTTCTTGCGATTCAAATTTAAACTGGCTGTTTATGTTCTCTGTCAGTTCTATATTTATAAGGTGGACTAACCTTCTGTTGTGGGGGCGCGGGGGGCCCAGTCGTCTAAGGCGCCGCGATTCGCTGTGCAGAGTTGCGTCCCTTGGGCACGCCAGAAACCTATGATTGGGGGTTCGAATCCCGGTTCGCCCCGATTATATTTCTAGGTTTGTCAGCACCATACCCGTGCTCGTGGGTTTCACCGAAGTGGTAAACGTCTGAGACCTGCATCACTTCGGGCTTTCCTCCCACATTAATCTGACACCCGTGATATAACTGGAATACTGTTAAAAGCGGCGTAAAACCCAACTCACTCACTACCTTCCGTTGTTTGTATATAAGTATTCTCATATTAGGGCCCGCGGAATGAGAAATACAAATTACATGTATTGTTGTGCAATAGAAATAAGCTTAAATCGGACATTAGCCATAACCTTCCATGAAATTGAATTGTGACGGAGACAAATATGCTCGATATATTTTAGGGGCGGTGGGGTAGCCTAGTGGTTAAAGCGTTCGCTCATCACGCCGAAGACCCGGGTTCGATTCCCGACATGGGTACAGTGTGTGAAGCCCATTTCTGGTGTCCCCCGCCGTGATATCGCTGGAATATTGCTAAAAGCGGCGTAAAACATACTCACTCACTCACTCGATATATTTTATTTGTAATAACAGTCCATAATATCACGTGCAATATATTATATTTAAGAACTGAAATAAGTTTTACAAAGATGGAGAAACTAGTGACATAATATTTATACTTCGTTATCCCCTTTTTTTTATTCAAAAGTTTGTTGTTCCCAGAAACAATTTAGTCATCCCTCTAGCAATAATAGACTGTTCCAACAAGTTCGCAGCAGGAGCTCTGTAATAGTTTCTCTCGAACGTCACGTGCAACCGCAAACTGTGTCATCGTGAAAAGAGTGTATTTGGTTTTGTTTACACACAGGCTCGCGATGTTTGTTGAATTATTTATTTAGAAAGTACTGAAAAATATGTTGACTCCCTCATTTATTATGCATGGTTATACGCTTCAAGTTCTTGACAGATACTTCCGACGAAAGATGGCTCAATGTGTCTGATACTGTATCGTCAAGACTTTACTATTTTCCGACACGGCCGAATGTGACAGTTGCATAAACTGCACGTGCATCACGCAGTCCTTTAAAAATGTGTCGTTTGCAATACACGGGTCTGAACATGACAATCCACGTGATCACGTGGCGATACTTTGGGGAAGGCGTATGTAAATTTTCAATGTGGAGCAGGGCCCCGTTTCTCAAAGCGGTCTGGTATCCAGGGGATTACCGTATTTCCTCTATTAGACGCTGGGTCTTCTAGTTATTTTGGACAAGCCTTTGACCCGGCGTCAATTAGAGACCCGGCGTTTATTGGAGGCCCGGCTTCTATTAATACCCCCATTTCACTATGACCACGAATGTCCCGAATCGTCACGAAATGGAAATATTTTGTGTTCGTAGATATATCGACCCGGCGTCTATTTTTTACACTGAACAATTGACCCGGCTTCTATTAGAGGCTCGGCGTCCAATAGAGGAAATACGGTAGCCAGTGTGCCGATGGACAAAGCAATCTTAACGCTAAGGTGATCGTAACTCACATACCTTAACATTGACGTACGATCATCGTGGCGCTAACATCGCTTTGTGGACCGGGAATCTGGGAGCCGCTGTATTTATATAAATACAAGTGTCGTCTTTCTCCGAAAACCAGCCATGACGTCAAAAAAATGAATGGTGTCACTTTTTTAGTAATTCATTACATTTGATGATACGGCTAGTGGTCCATTAATAATATTGCAACATTAGTCAATTTACACTTGCACAATCAGTAGAATGTTGGAATCTAAGGACTCATTTATAGTTTAGATAGGGCCATCCATTTCGCTATTACTTTTTTTTTATGAAATGCATTTCATCATTTCTTATGTTTGTTTGTTTGTTTTATACCTAAACGTATACAGTTTCAATATCGATATCTGTGTTGGAATAGTTTGGTTCCCCGTGAACGAAACACCACGAAAATATATTGACCTTACCCAAAGCTAATTCTCACCAATACATAAACTAGTGCTAAGCATAGCGGAGTTATGTCCCCTTTTCTTTGTACGTGTGTAACCTCTCTGTCGCCTTTTGAAGTCATAGAGGTAAATCAGTTTTCTCCATTTACGGCAGGCTATTTATTGTATTGAATTTATGTCGTTGTACATGCGCATATATCTCCATTTGATATATATTTATGTCGTTCTAATATTAGGCAGTATTTTGTTCACTCACAGTTTCAGTAAATCTGCTCAATAAAAAAAGATCGTCCCACAGTACGTTTATCGCTGTACGATAAAAAGCGGAATACTTTTCTGTTTTTCAACGCAGAATCAATTCTCGGACAACACTTAGCAGTGTCTTTTTCAAACAGGTTTAATATTTACAGCTAAATTGACCCCGTCAGATATTAAATTTAATGTTCTACATATCTGCGTATTTTTGTAGCCAGAGGTAGATCCAGTGCCGCGTGAGCGCATTTCTGGCACAACGTTCACTTTTCAGATCTTAGGAAAATGTGCATCAGGAAAATATACTCGGCATCCAGCGGGTTAAAGCGCTATTTTCTTATTTCATAGGATGGGCGTAGAATATCCGCAAGCTTGTAAAAACGGTAAGGTTGCATGTTGGAGGACAAATTGTGTTTTATTATCTGGAATTTCTATGTTTTCCCTGATTAAATACTCTCTTTGATTTCCGTCTATGTTGTATTACCGCTCTAAATGAGAACGTCACTCACTTCTGTTCATTCCCGGGGGCACGGGTGGCCCAGTCGTCTAAGGCGCCGCGATTCGCTGTGCAGAGTTGCGTCCCTTAGGCACGCCAGAAACCTATGATTGTGGGTTCGAATCCCGCTTCGCCCCGATTATGTTTCTAGGTTTGTCAGCACCATACCCGTGCTCGTGGGTTTCACCGAAGTGGTAAACGTCTGAGACCTGCATCACTTCGGACTTTCCTCCCACATTAAGCTGACACGCCGTGATATAACTGGAATACTGTTAAAAGCGGCGTTAAACCCAACTCACTCACTCCACCCACTCACCCAATGCAATAGGTCTTCAGCAACCGATGCTTGTCGACAAGCGGAATCGTGTTATCATAATAGAATGTAGAGATATTTGTTGTTTGTTGTTTAACGCCGTACTCAGCAATATATTCCAGCTGTACGGTGGCGGTCTGCTAATAATCGAGTCTGGACCAGACAATCCAGTAATTGACATCATGAGTATCGATCCACGCAATTAAGATCGATGACATGCATCAAGTCAGAGAGCCTGACCACCCGATCCCGTTAGTCGCCTTTTACGACAAGCATAATCGCTTTCTACGGCTAGCATGGGTTGCTGAAGACCTATTCTATGCTGCCGAAAAACAACCAACCAACCAAACCCCCTGGATTATATAGACTGCGGGATCAACACATCCAATCACTCACTCAACGCCAAGGAACACCAGTGCTAAAATCACGCAGCGATATCCTTTGTTTACACCGCACGTGACGTTCAGACGCTGCATTATGTTAACCCTACTTCGAGCTGACATGACCGCTTCCGTGGTCTAGTGGTAGAGCGTCGGCCCGGAGAGCGGAAGGTCCGGGGTTCGATCCCCGACCGCGTCATACCGAAAGACGTTTAAAGATGGTACTTGTTGTTACCCTGTCTGACGCTCGGCATTAAGGGGCTAAAACAAGGACTGGTCGGCTCGGAGTCAGTATACTGTGTCTGAGTGGGATATTCATGTTAAACTGCGGCATGGTATCTCAGTGAGCTAGCACTATAAATCGGCATCAGTCCGGACTAGTACAAGCAGCCACACACACACACACACACGTCGCTTTATAAGTGCAATAATCTTGGACGCGACGTTAAACCCCGTTTCACCTCACACCTCACCTCCAGCTGACCTCCATTCCTCGAGAAACAGCGCGAAAAGCTGGTTTCGATTCGGATCCACTCGGCTTATTCCGTTACTAGTATTGACACGGTGAGAGATGACGTGAGCCGGATACATTCAATCCATGGGCAGTTATGTCCCTTTGTTAGACTTACTTTACCAGGAAGTGATACGTTATTGAATTTCTTACTTCATGCCAATTGTGATCAGTTGCCGGTTTTGATATTCCCCGAATTCGTGACCTGAACTGGTCCTAAAATAGTGCTGACAGTGTGGGTTTTCCCCTAACAACGCCCCAGTCTCAACGAAACAGGTTTACCGTTAGGTTTTCTCCGCTACTCTACCCCGTAAAACACACGGCACAGACAGGAGGGTAAGTGGTCATATATATCATAATATGATTAATATTTTCTTCCTTGCGATGTGATATAATCACACAGTTTACGCCGTGCACCGACATTCTATATTCTCTGTCTGTTTAATATGATCCCTCTGATAATTAATAAGCTCCGCCCGGACAGGTCCCTACATCCCCAGCTTCATCAAAAGATGACAGTTGACACCTGCTGCCGGACCCTACGCATTATGGCTGGGTCGGGTAACTCGGGTCGGGTGGGTGCTGAGTAGGACCTGGGTACCCACATGACTACCCGGACCCGTGGTTAGTCACGTGATATATTGGTTAATGACCAAAACTTACTATAGCTCAGTGGTTACACTACAAGTCGCTAATGTTCGCATTTCTTTCTGACGATGCATTCATTCCTTTTGACTTGTATATGTTTGAGTACAGTTAAAGCTTCAGTCAACTTCAGCGTACGCATGGTATGATTGTTTGATACATGTATCTAAATAGTTTTAGCCAGGACTGCGGTAAAACAATTCCCAACCAGACATTTTGTTCCCACATCTTGACACCTACAGTGGGTACCCGGGTAGGGTCGGGTAATGGGGGGTCGGGTAGCCGGGTAGTAAATTTGGATTCGTCCCAGCCCGTATTAGGCATGTACAGGTACGTATCTGAAGCTGTGGAAAAAAAAACATCAAACAAAAAAGCATTATAAAGAACATTATGATAATGCTACTCCCTTTTACGGTGCTATCAATGAAACGTTATGTATGTCATGCTTGAAAACACATGTTTGTAGGCCTGTTTGTAAGTGACCTAGATTTTTACAAAATGAGACGCTTAAACTTGTTTCGTAGGGTTGTTTATCTGATTCACCGGAGCATAGACAACTTTATATTTATTTAGATATTTTTTAGATAGCCATCGACTTATTCTTACAGGCTGAGAGATCTGAAGTTCACGTGAAGTAAATTCATTTTCTGCTCACGTCACCAGTTCATTATCTCGATTAATCTCACAAAATAAACAATTGATTGTGTAAACATTGTATAGAGCCCTGTGTTTTTGTACACACAGCTTGTACCAAAGCAACCGATCGGTGGGCACCTTCAGGTCAACTAGTACTGACCCGAGAGATCACATAATCTTTTGTTTCTTTGTTTCTTTGTTGATTAACGCCACACTCAGAAATATTCCAGCTATATGACGGCGGTCTGTAAATAATCGATGCATGTCATTGTATCCAAATTGCGTGGATCGATGCTCATGATGCCAATCACTGTAATGTCTGGTCCAGACTCGATTATTTACAGACCGCCATTATATACCTGGAATATTGCTGAGTGCGGCGTTAAACAACAAACAAACAAACAAAAGATTATGTGATCTCTCGGGACAGTTGTGGCGTTAATCAACAAGGAAACAAACAAACACAAGCGGCTCAACCTTAATTTGGTGATCTCATGAATGTTGTTCCCGAAAGATGCTTACAAAGTTCCGATCCGATTTTAAAGAGGGTAACATTTGCTGTTTACGTTTCCGCGAAATGGCATTTGTTTCTGATTTTGTTTACAGTTGTGTCGCCCATTTTTTATATTGTATTGTTGAATGATAATATACTCTTTTAAATGGTCTAAGCTAGTTTTAAAATCGAAACTGTGATACTCTAGTTATCATACTGTCCATCATTGACAGCTTTTTGTTCAATCTAAATATAATTATTATATCTGTTTCGTTTCGATATGGCTGAAATATTTCCGACGTGACGTTAAATTTCATTCACTCACTCACTCACTCACTCACTCACTCACTCACTCACAATTGTGTCCCTGTATGTGGCCGGCCCCTCTCTCGCGACATTGATCCCCATTTCACGCCACCTGCAATGCATCACTACGGGAAATATATTTAGCTGTGAACGTAGCGTTTTAAATACTACATCTGCACAGGTTTGTCCTTAAGAGTTGCGTCCCACAAACCTATGATTGTGGGTTCGAATCCCGGTTCATCCCGATTATGTTTCTAGGTTTTTCAGCACCATACCCGTGTTCGTGGGTTTCACCGAAGTGATAAACGTCTGAGACCTGCATCACTTCGGGCTTTGCTCCCACATTCAGCTGACACGCCGTGATATGACTGGAATACTGTTAAAAGCGGCGTCAAACCACTCAACTCTCTCACTCACCCTTTAGTTCGTGCTGGCAATGTACGTAACCCGCACTGTCGATTTTTTCCCCGGATTGTAACCACGTGATCTAAACCCATGACGATGCTGATTGCTAGCAAAATGGGTATTTATTGAAAAGTGCACTTTGCAACTTCTGTGAGTAATATTCATTACAGGCGGAATAGCTGGTTTGAGTGAGCGAGTGAGTGAGTATGGTTTTACGCCGCTTTTAGCAATATTCCAGCAATATCACGGCGGGGGACACCAGAAATGGGCTTCACACATTGTACCCATGTCGGGAATCGAACCCGGGTCTTCGGCAGGACGAGCGAACGCTTTTAACCACTCGGCTACCCGACCGCCCCGAAGCTAGTTTGAACTGTGCAAGTACATGTTTAAGCACACATAGCTAATCATCGCCATATTTCGTGATTCTATTTCAAGTGGCGAAACAAAGCCTCCAAATAATCAAATGTTTTTGTATTATTGTTAATAAAAATGTTTATTTGTTTGTTTGTTGTTTAACGCCGCACTTGGCAATATTCCAGCTATATGGCGGCGGTTTGTAAATAACTTTCCTAAGCTAATTGTTTTGAAGATTTACAGTATTTCACAATGTATTTTCAAACACAATCACCAGAATAGTGAATTAGTAATCTAGAATGTTTAAATATTTATATTGGACTGAGTAGCGTTTGTTTTACCACAGGAAGTGACGTCATGGCTGAAGTATGTCCATGTCAGTTGTCAAGTGCAGATAAGCGACAGAGGTTTGCAAAGAATGTCGTCATATCTATGAAACGAAACTAATATTTATGATCGTCATTCAATACAAAATACTTCACTGTTTCGCTCTTTTTTATTGGTAGAATATTCCTTTAAAAGCTATTGTTGGTGTTTCCTGAATTGAAATGGACCACCCATTCAAAACTAAGTATGCGCGTTCGGTTCCAATTTCAATATTGCACGATTAAATCAAGTAACATCGCTCTAAATTGAAACCTGATTATCGCTTTCCACGAAAATTGCCCGGAATCGAAACTTTCTATTGGTCGTTGATGGAAACACTGACACAAAATTCACAAATGCAGAAAAAATGTATTTTAGTATTCCATGAATATTAAGTAATTTCCGAAATTAAACAAGCCTTGAAAATAGGACAATAAGGGAAGTGTACTGACCGAACTTCAAATTTTAAAACATTTAAATTTTATTTAAACCAACGAATATTATCTGTAAGCCAATAAATTTTTTAAAAAGGCAGAGGAAGTGAATTAAATTTTATTTAAAAAATCTAGATCTGTTCGTAATTTTCATTTAAATTTGTCTCTACTTAGTTCGTTCACATATAGGATAGCCCCGTGGGGCCAGGATTGTGGGTAAGAGGTAGTCCCCATCGACCCGTGAAGACCCGGGGTAGAATAGGTCTTCAGCAACCCATGATTGCCGTAAAAGGCGACTATGCTTGTCGTAAAAGGCGACTAACGGGATTGGGTGGTCAGGCTCGCTGACTTGGTTGATGCATGGTATCGTATCCCAATTGCGTGGATCCACGCTCATGATGTCAATCACTGGATTGTCTGGTCCAGACTCGATTATTTACAGACCGCTGTCATATAGCTGGATTATTGCTGAGTGCGGCGTTAAACAACCAACCAAACAAACAAACAAGAAGTCCCCAGAAAATTGTGTCGGTCGTGAGAGGCCACGTAATGGTCAGACCTGGTGACCCCGATGTCGTGGGTCATTGCTCACAGTATATATCACTGGTTTGTCTGGTCCAGATGTTCACGTTACAGGCGGATGTAACTTAGCTGGAATACTGATTCGAGCGAAGTTTTAACAAACAAAGGCACCATGACCAAGTTGAGAAAAATCTGGTTCAACTCCGCGTTCCTGTACAGCAGGTGTTCCCCGTGCAACGGAAGAATCCATTTCTATTGAATAGGGGACTGCGGTAGAATGTGACGCGGTTCACGCTGAGTTCAAATTTTTAAATTATTTCGCGAACCAAATCTTTGTGTTGACTTAATCATTAAGTTAAATTTTTTTATGAGTGTGTATAAGTTTTAAGTATGCATATTTTCAATTTGCAGTTCTCAAGTCGAAGAAAAGATGGAGTGCGGTAATTTTTTTGGTTTCCATTCTTAGGATAAAGCATATATGAAAAAGTGAGCGAATGAGAGACAGTAGCCTAGCTTAACCGCATTGCTCCTTTCTACAAACGATCTGTTTGTTTGTTGTTTAATGCCGCACTCAGCAATGCTCCAGCTATAAGTCGGCGGCCTGTAAATAATCAATCCGGTGATTGACATCATGAGCATCGATCTACGCAATTTTTGGGAATATGATGACATGCATCAAACAAGTCAGCAAGCCTGACCACCTGATCCCGTTAGTCGGCTCTTACGAGAAGCATTGGTTGCTGAGGACCTATTTTAACCTGGATCTTCACGGGTGATTTTGATTTTGACGTATCGCTGCACAGAGCTACGAGTGAGTGAGTGAGTTGTGTTAACGCCGCTTTTAACAGTATTCCAGGTATATCACGGCGGGTCAGCTAAATGTGGGAGAAAGCCCGAAGTGATGCAGGTCTCAGACGTTTACCACTTCGGTGAAACCCACGAGCACGGGTATGGTGCTGACAAACCTAGAAACATAATCGGGGCGAACCGGGATTCGAACCCACAACCATAGGTTTCTGGCGTGCCCAAGGGACGCAACTCTGCACAGCGAATCTCGGCGCCTTAGACGACTGGGCCACCCGTGCCCCCGCACAGAGCTACGAGCTGCGTCACGGTGGAATGTATGAATATTGCAGCTTAGGCATGCACAGGGAGCTGTTTGGCATTATGAATCGATTATTTGATTTTGACATCTGCTCAGCTCGGTGCCAAACACCTCGCCTCGTATCAGTTCACTGCCACCGAGAACCTGCACGTGACGAGCATCGCTGCAGGTGATGCCTTGTTTCGGACTTGATGAGGAGGCGATGGGGTGGCCCAGTGGTTACATCGTTCGATCGTTTCGCCAAAGGCCCGGGTTCGATTCCCGAGTTAATTGACCCTTTCGTCACGCCAAAGGCCCGTGTTCCATTTCACAACGAAAATAAGTGTTTGTTGCCTTGGTTACCCGCATCCGCATCCGCAATTATGATTTCACTCATCCTTGTAATATCTACACGTGTTCTGTGACCTTGTTTGTCCGAGTTCTGTCCTAGGGTGGCCTTGTGGTTAGACCGCCTCCGTGGTCTAGTGGTAGAGCGTCCGCCCGGAGAGCGGAAGGTCCAGGGTTCGATCCCGGGCCGCGTCATACAAAAAGACGTTAAAAGATTGTACTTGTTGTTACCCTGTCTGGCGCTCGGCATTAAGGGGCTAAAACAAGGACTGGTCGGCTCGGAGTCAGTATACTGTGTCTGAGTGAGGTATTCATGTTAAACTGCGGCATGGTATCTCAGTGAGCTAGCACTATAAATCGGCATCAGTCCGGACTAGTACAAGCAGCCACACACACACATACACGTGCATGCACGTCGCTATATAAGTGCAATAATCTTGGACGCGACGTTAAACCCAATTTCACCTCACCTCACCTTGTGGTTAACGCATTCGTTTGTCACGCCGTTGTCATTGGTTTGATTCGCCTCATGAATACAATGTGTGATGACCATTTCTGGTGGCCCCCGCCGTGATATTGCTGAAATATTGCTAAAATTGGTAAACTCACTCACTCTAACGTCCTACCAAACATATACGCTTCATGTGAATCACATATATCGTCAGATGCCCTGAACTGTCGAATAATCCATTTGTTTGTTTGTTTGCTTGTTTAACGCCGTACTCAGCAATATTCCAGCTATATGACGGCGGTCTGTAAATAATCGAGTCTGGACCAGACAATCCAGTGATTGATATCATGAGCATCGATCCACGCAATTGGGATAAGATGACATGCATCAAACCAAGTCAGTGAGCCTGACCACCTGATCCCGTTAGTCGCCTCTTACGACAAGCATAGTCGCCTTTTATGGCAAGCATAGTCGCCTCGAAGGATCTAATCAGTATGTTATTGTGACCTTAAATGACTATTTCCTTCCTTCTAGACGACTGCGTGAGGTTCCTTCCTGACATAAAGACATGTTACAAATCTGAGAAGCACGTCCTGTCCATGCACGTCGAGTACTGGGTGCTGGGCCAGAGCGGCAAGAAAGGGGACGAACGCAAGAAAGAACACGTCAAACAGTTCACAGAGACGTTTTTCAAGAACGTCTGCAGCTTACGTAACAGTAAAGGTGGCGTCCTTGCCATTCACGTACAAAACAAGAACGACAACAGTGGCCCATGTTTGGACGATTTCGATCAGAAGGTGTCCAAAGACCTTTCCTACATGATAGAAGATGACAGTCCATATGTGTTCAACTACCAAAGGAGATGGTTTGTGGATGAAAGTGGTCGATATAGTGGAGATAAATACATTGTGGTCATTGTCAAAGGCTCGTCGTCAGTTTCTACTAAAAGCTTCAACACCTTGGTGCCATACGACGGAAGCAAGGAACGAGCCAGAGCTCGCGAATTGGCTATGTATATGTCAGAGGACCGGAGATACGGACTCTGCATCAAAGAAGGTTGCCTATATGTGAAGGGAGGTTATAAAGAAGGAGAACATGTTGATATTATCGAGTCAAGGGGTGTGCAGTTTAAGAGCATGAGCGAGGAGGATCTGAAGAAGGACATCCTTGACCATGGAGACATTGGAAGGGCTGAAGGGATAGTCTTCAGGCTGATAGAGAAGCTGCACTTGTTACAGTACATCACGACATTTTCGAAGCTTGTTACAGGGGGGTCATTCTTCCTAGGTATTGAGGAGGAGAAGGGGGTGATCATTAATAAGACTGTGAACACACCCGTGGAGCAGGAGCGTGGCAGAGAAAGGAGCCGAGCTCGTCAGAGACTGGAGTTTCACGATGAAGTACCATCCAACATCTGTGAAAGGAACAGCGAGAGGACCAAATCAAGGAGGTCTGAAAGGTACAAGGAACATGGCGGTCAGAGATCCACTCGGGACGAACGCGGTAATAAGAGACCCACACGTGCGTCTCGTGAAGAGGGCAGATATCCGAGAAGTGTACACAGTGACAGGTATTCAGAACGCGACAGGTCACGGAGCAGATCACGTGAAGATCAGAAGAGTCCTCGCACTGCAAACCTTGCATCTGGATCTAATCCTCGACACGCATCAACCTCATCATCAAAATATCCCATCCCAAAATCTACAGCTTCTAAAGTATCTGGAACTGAGCCCCGACTCGCATCCTCCTCTTCATCCTCTTCATCAAGATCTTCCATCCCTTCCTCTACACCTTCTGAAACACGTGGACGAGTTGCGCCAGACTCTACACACAGAGGACATAGAACGAGTAGAGTGGCCGATCCAGGTAGAGAGGGACATGAAGGGATGCCGTATGACCAGCACAGAGGACATAGAACGGGTAGAGGGGCCGATCCAGGTAGAGAGGGACATGAAGGGATGCCGTATGACCAGAACAGAGGACATAGAACGAGTAGAGGGGCCGATCCAGGTAGAGAGGGACATGAAGGGATGCCGTATGACCAGAACAGAGGACGTGAAAGGTCTGGCAGCGGGTCGGACTCCAGGAAGGAAGGGAATAGAAAACAGTCTCGTTCTTTTCCACCTCTAACTATTGAAAACAAATACAGCTCCCCTCTTTCACCACCAACACCTGTGTCAGCATCTCCACGTTCTCCAATGAAGTTAATGAAAACAGGACATAATATTGTGAGGGGGTTTCAGCTGGAAGCGTCCGATACTGGAGAACTGGTCAACTTGCTTAAGAAGGAAATATCACAGAATATGATGTGGCTGAGGTCGGATGGTGACTGTTTGACTGTGTGTGATATTGACAAAGCTATCGCTGTTGAACTTCACTCTGTTGGGCAGTCAAAGTACGTCCTGGAGGTGAACGTGAAGGAGTTGTTCCCTGGGCTGGTGTTCTTCACCAAGGAGGGACCAGAGGCGTATCGGCTGGAACAAGGGATGCCTGTGAGGATTGGGGAAACTGAATGGATGGAGCTGTTGAAGTCTGCAACAAAATGTGCCGCCTGCAGTAACTTTGGTTGAGATGATGATGATGATGGTGATGATGATGACGATGATGATGGTGATAATGATCGTGAGGTGTAGTCGTGTGAGTGAATGTATACTGCAGCACATGCAGGGAACGTTTTCTCCACTGGACATAGGAGGTTCAAATGAGTTACCGTATTCGACGTAATAATTATAAGCGCCTAGGGCGCTCTCAAAATTAGAAATAGGGAGCTCTCATTAGAATATAATTTTGGTGAGAAAAAAACCAGAGTTGGAAGATTGTAAATTTTGTGATTTTTGCCGACAGCCTGAAATGATATATGTGTATTTTACACGATAGATATATTTTCGAGAATATAATTGCCCATTATTAAGGGTGAATATAACACACGAGTGCGTATTATACAAGAATAAATAAGTCTTGTGTACATTGATTAATCGGAAAGGGTGCTAATTGGGATTATTCACTCGCCAATATATTAGCAGATATCGCGGTGGGCGCTTATTAGAGCCGGGCGCTTATTACGTCGAATACGGTAATGTTGTTTTACAAGGTCAGACGATGTAACCACCCAATCATAAGATCTGTTGGGGACTGTGTGCTAGGACAGTACCAAACACATTTCTTGTCTCAAATCTCCCAATTGTGTTGGAGAAGTGAGGTGAAATGGGAATTTAAGTCGCGTTCAAGATACGAGTACCACTTACAGTGACGTGCACGCATGTGTGTTAAGCTGCTTGTATTTGTCCGGACGAATGCCGGTTGTATAGTGTTGGCCCACTGAGATACCATGCCACAGTTTAACATAAATATCCCTCTCAGACACAGTATGCAGACTCCGAGCCGACCAGTCCTTGTTTTAGCTCACTGAGATACCATGCCGAAGTTTAACATGAATACCCCACTCAGACACAGTATACTGACTCCGAGCTGACCAGTCCTTGTTTTAGCCCCTTAATGCCGAGCGCCAGACAGGGTAACAACAAGTACCATCTTTTAACGTCTTTTCCCCCAACTAAGAGACTGGACATTTAAAATAGGGGAGTGCATTGGTCTCAGGACTAATATTTGGCTAAACTAGCCCCGCATTTTATGTTACATATTTTCTTGACCACCACCGCCCCACCCCTCCACAGTCCCCACCTAAAGTGACCCAGGGATAATTCTAGGGTGGGGCCTTGTGCTTTTAGTCCCTAAAAAACCCCAAAAAGGCCAACATTTTCAAATACAATGGGACATTTTATCATTGTGTTGTATGGGCAAGTTTGGGTGTACCTCTGGAGTGAGTGAGTGAGTGAGTGAGTGAGTGAGTATGGTTTTACGCCGCTTTTAGCAATATTCCAGCAATATCACGGCGGGGACACCAGAAATGGGCTTTACACATTGTACCCATGTCGGGAATCGAACCCGGGTCTTCGGCGTGACGAGCGAACGCTTTAACCACTAGGCTACCCGACCGCCCCTGTACCTCTGGAATATATGACAGTTTCACCTAAAGGGCCTATGACAGAAAACCCTGTGAACCTGGTGATAAGTCCGTCCATAACGTTCAAATTTATACATTTTTAAAAAATAAACAATCTGTTATTATTTTATGCCTCTGTAGTTGTTAAAATTTTGCCAACCCCCTGCTATCGTTCTCATTTCTTTCAAGAACAATTGAAAAAATACTGATCTTATCAAAATAATACTGTTTGTCCTTGTCAAGCAAAGTTTCCTGAGTTTGTTTGTTGTTTAACGCCACACTCAGCAATTTTCCGGCTATATGACGGCGGTCTGTAAATAATCGAGCCTGGACCAGGCAATCCAGTGATTGACATCATGAGCATCGATCCACGCAAATTGGATACGAAGACATGCTTCAACCAAGTCAGCGAGCCTGACCACCCGATTTCGTTAGTCACCTTTTACGACAAGCATAGTCGCCTTTTACGGCAAGCATGGGCTGCTGAAGACCTAGTCTCCTGTGAGTTGATATATAACCTGCTATAATTGAGATCTCCAGGAAACACGTCCTGAAACTTTTAAAATAATATAAAACAACCAGTATCGACTGTCTCCCAAGCAGCTCCCATTGGGTGTAAAAGGTAAAAAAGGAAAAGTATGTGAATGGATCATTACTAATCGTTCGTGTTGTTTGTTTGTTGTTTAACGCCACACTCAGCAATATTCCAGCTATATGACAGTGGTCTGTGAATGATATAGTCTGGACCAGACAATCCAGTGATTGACATCATAAGCATCGGTCCACGCAATTGGGATACGATGACATGCATCAACCAAGTCAGCGAGCTTGACCACCCGATCCCGTTAGTCTCCTATTACAGCAGAGAGATAACACCACCTCTACCTTTGTGGAAAGGGTAAGCATTCCCTACCCCTATTGGTAGCAACTGCCGTTCACACAAACACATTTTGCATTATAAAAGTGTGTGTTTTTCCCATCCGCAATTATGATTTTCACTCATCCTTGTAATATCTACCAGTCTTCTGTGACCTGAGTGACCTTCTATGTTCTGCTGGCCTGGGGTAGCCTAGTGGTTAAAGTATTCGCTGGTCATGTTGTTGTCATGGGTTTGATTCTACTCAGATACTCTAATACATGGTCTAGATTGTATAGATTCAGCCGTTAAGCCCGTAACTATCGTTCGGAATATCCCGCTTTAAGGTTTTCGAGGCCGCATGATTAGAAATCACATTCCGACTGTCACTTTCATAATCTGGTAAGCGACACTCTGATTGGTCGGATGAAAGGTCGTTCTGACGTGACCCCTTATGGGATGTCCTCAGATCTTTGTTTAGCGGTAGTGAGAACTAAGGATGAAGATCTGATTTTAATGAGATTGCGTAAGAACCCAACTCACAACCTCACTTCCAACCTGGTTGCTTTCAATCGGTGCCATTTTGTTGGACCTAAATATCATCACTCAGACTTCTCTGTGAGATTCTGGGTTAAAGGTCCCCAGCTACCTGTGACGGTAGTAAGGGGTGACTTAATGCCTGAGTGAGTGAGTATGGTTTAACGCCGCTTTTAGCAATATTCCAGCAATATCACGGCGGGGGACACCAGAAATGCGCTTCACACATTGTACCCATGTCGGGAATCGAACCCGGGTCTTCGGGGGGAGGAGTGAACGATTTAACAACTCGGCTACCCGACCGCCCCAGGCGACTGAATGGACTGGCATGTCATTGTACCCGGATGGTGTGGGTTGTTGCCCTAAGATCAATCACTGCACTGTCTGGTTCGGGTACATTATTTAAGGGTCGCCATCATAGGGCTGGCACTCTGCTGAGCCAGGCAGGAAAAACAGACTGAATGACTATAGGAGAAATTTTCAGGCTTGGATTCTAGTGAATCCTTTGAAGTTATCACTTCCAAGAAAATAACATATCCCTAGAAATAAGTCTAATATAAGGTCTGATATATACTGTAGTAATCTTAACTATGTATGATAGATCTTTTGACAGTATGTATTAGATTGATCAACATGATTTAAGTAAAATAATTTTCATGCCTTTGGTGTATTTGTTAGGATAACCTAACCTAACCTAACCTAACCTAACCTGTGTGTGTGTTTGTGTGTGTGTGCGTGTGCGTGTGCGTGTGCGTGTGCGCGCATGCTTGTTCTAGTCCGACTGATGCCAATTCGTAGTGCTAGGCCACTGAGATACCATGCCGCAGTTTAACGTGAATACCCCACTCAGACAGTTTATTGACTCCGATCAAACCAGTCCTTGTTAGCCCCTTAATGCTGAGCACCAGACAGGGTAACAACAAGTACCATCTTTTAACATCTTTTGGTATGACGTGGCCGGGGATCGAATCCCAAACCTTCACTCTCCTGGGGGACACTCTACCACCAGACCACGGAGGTGGTCTCAACTATAATGGACATCTGCTAATCCAAACATTCCCCAAGTGACAATTCTTATGATATTACTTGTGAAACAAATTTGCAAAGGGATGCTTTCATTCCTTCACAACAGATAAACACAAAACAAAAGCCTACTACAAGTACTAGGATTTATTCTAATCATGACCAGTTTCTATGGACACTGTCTCACAATTCATACATCATATATATACATCAACTATGTAAAATTACACACAAACAATGACACATATTTTCATCACTGATTTTCTACTGCTGAAAAATTACATGCTTCCTATTTTTACATGATTTATGATATCCTGAAACATTCTTGTTCATCAGTATTACTGATATAGTTTATAGAAACAAGTATCATCATTATCCACAGGACTCCATGAGAAGCTAGTCTATGTGTGTATGTGTGTGTGTGTGTGTGTGTGTGAGTCTGTGTGTGTCTGTGTGTATGAGTGTGTCTCTGTGTGTGTTTTTTCACACACACATGATAAGCAACACATTCAGTAATGTGTTTAACCATGACTTTTTTTGTTTGATGGTTTTACTTTTATGCTACATAAAGCAATATCCTGGACATACTACTGTGGACTGTAAAACAATGACAAACCAATAGGTACGATGACACACCTTACATGAACAGAGTCAGACCCCATGAACCAAATTTGTTGCAATAGAGTGTTGGTAATGGTAGGTGGATATAGGGCTTGAAACCTCTTCCTACCATTACTCATACGTCGATTGTGCCCTTTTCTGCCAGACTCCACCAAAAAAATAACAATACATAGCAGAGTTGAGTCCTGGATTTTGAAAGGGAAAAAAACAGGTTGGGACACACCAAGGTGAGTGAGTGAGTTGGGTTTAAGACCGCTTTTAACAGTATTCCAGTTATATCACAGCGTGTCAGCTTAATGTGGCAGGAAAGCCCGAAGTGATGCAGGTCTCGGACGTTTACCACTTCGGTGAAACCCACGAGCACGGGTGTGGTGGTGACAAACCTAGAAACATAATCGGGGCGAACCGGGATTCGAACCCACAATCATAGGTTTCTGGCATGCCCAAGGGACGCAACTCTGTACAGCGAATCACGGTGCCTTAGACAACTGGGCCACCCGTGACCTGGGACACGCCAAGGATTTACATTGGATTCCAAACTTAAATGCTGTTGAAGAGAATTTATGGATGTCAACTTATTACTTACTCCTTCATCATTGACCTGATGAAGGAGTTAGCATATTCTCTGAAACGTTGTGTTCCTCATACTAAAGAACTTGACATCCATAAATTCTCTTCCTTATGTGTATCACTTCTAAATGTTCTTCAAAGACTGGCAAACTGGTATAGATAATTATTTCCTTGAGAATCTGGAACTTTTCAAACTCCTTTTTTCCGTTTAGAGGCATTATACATGTATATAACATTGTATTTTAACAATGCATTCAATGCAATAATTTACATCTGAGCATTAAAGCTCCTCCAATTTAATTGATCCCGTTAGTCGCCTTTTACGACAAGCATAGTCGCCTTTGACGGCAAGCATGGGTCTGCCTACAGGGTCCGACTTCAATGAAGGTGTATGCTCTACTATACTCATCTTTTCATGGTCATGATTATGCCAAACATATTTCAGATCTGTTTCTCCAACTGTATATTTACTGAAGGATGAGTGAGTGAGTTGGGTTTAACGCCGCTTTTAACAGTATTACAGTTATATCACGGCGTGTCAGCTTAATGTAGGAGGAAAGCCCGAAGTGATGCAGGTCTCAGACGTTTACCACTTCGGTGAAACCCACAAGCACGGGTATGGTGCTGACAAAGCTAGAAACATAATCGGGGTGAACTGGGATTCGAACCTACAATCATAGGTTTCTGGCGTGCCCAAGGGACGCAACTCTGCACAGCGAATCGCAGCGCCTTAGATGACTGGGCCACCAGTGCCCCCATTTAGTGAAGGAAAGAAAACAAGGAACAGCTAATGGAAGTACCGTATTTGACGTAATAAGCGCCCAGGCACTCTCAAAATTAGAAATAAGGGGTTCTTATTAGAATATTATTTTAGTGAGAAAAAAAAAACAGTTGAAAGATCGTAACTTTCATGGTTTATGCTGACAGCCTGAAATGTTTATACACGACAGATATAATTTTCCTGAATTTAATTGCCCATAATTAAGGGTGCATATAATACACGAGTGCGTTTTATACACAAATAAATAAGTCTTATATACATTGATCAATTGGAAGGGGTGCTAATTGGGATTGTTCACTAGTCAATATATTAGCAAAATATCGCCGTGGGCGCTTATTACATCGAATACGTTTTTTTGTGAATTCTGATATGATAGTCTACATGACAAACAGGCCATTCAGAAAAAAATTCTGTGATGTCTAGTACAGTTTACCAATGTTCGAAATTACAGGGTTCTGAGGTCCTTGAGGTTTGCTCTCGATGTATTTGAATCTAGGTACCCGAAACATTTGTTGACATTATAGCAATGCTGGTGACTTAATTTCAGACACTCTGGATCACTCTCAGCCAAGCTTGCTTGACCAAAATCGTTTTTACATAGTACTGGACGTGATGGATTATTTATTTTTAGTTTGTTGTTTTAGAAGAGACTCGTTACTTCAGCCGGTCACAATGATTCCAGCCTAGTTCGGCAAGGGTAGAAACTGGACTTTAAAAGTCAGTTAACTCCCTTGCCTCAGGACGATGACATGTTGTTTGAGGCTCAACTCATTCTTTGGGTGGAATATGTCTCCCTCACATGGCAAATGTTAAGTATATGGATACATATGCATTTTACCGGCACATATCCACCATGTTTGTTTGATACTACTAACAAACCCACAAACGACACACCTGTTTGAAAAATAGGGCCATAAAGCTAAAATAAGCCGTAAAAATGACTCTGCTTGCATTTGTAAGCTTTATGATTAAACTTCCAACTAGAGTCTCAAAGCAATCCATAAACATTGAAAATGTACTAAAAAATAGAAGTTCATTAGAACATGCTACAACCTCATCAGTGATATCCAATGGGCTGAATTAAAAACAACCAACAATGTATTTTGTATTAACTTTGGAAATAAAAATTACCTTTACTTACGAAAGCATTTAATTCAAGCTCCCCAAACCCATTGTTATTTACTGAGGCAGAAAAATTGGCATCTGAAAAGTTTTGCTGAGGAAGGAGCTTGTGCGCATCCCTTACCAAAATGGCAGAAGATGTCCAGTAGACTGCCTTTTCGCCTTCTTATGTATCGTGTATCAAGATGTGTACCACCCTAATGTGTTTGGCAACAGTTGTATATTCAATATACTGTAGTCTTGATTAGTTGAGCTTAACCAAACAGTGTCTGCAGGATAACTTGACACTGCAACATTGAGAACACTGCCTCCAGGAGTCCAGCCCCTGATGAAGCCACATCTAATCCAGTCTCAGCAACCTCATCACTAGTCAGTCTCACTATCATCCCCTTCCAGATGTCCCCTCAACATCCACGTCACTTGTCATAATCATCATCTTCCAGCTTCCTCTTGAGAGGGTTGATACCAGGGATCATGGGCTGACCTCCAAATGCCCCCTGCTGACCAATAGTGGACAGAGTGCTGGTTGGTATTGGTCGGGTAGTGATGATCTGACCGCTGGTGTTGGGAAGGACTTTGGTCATCCCTGAAGATGTGGAGAATAAGGCATGTTACAGCGGTAGAACCTAACCGTTTCAGTCCACTAGTCCTCACAATGATAACATGTAGCAAATACCTTACAAATGGCAAATTTCTATTGGTCCTTATGATACCTTAACTATTGGGCAGTCTGGCAAGGACTACAGGACTAGTGCCAATTTCTAACGCTGTGTTATTGTATCATTTGTCAAGAAGATTGGTTGGTTGGTTGGTTTGTTGTTTAACGCTGCACTCAGCAATATTCCAGCTTTATGATGGCGGTCTGTAAATAATCGAGTCTGGACCAGACAATCCAGTGATTAATATCATGAGAATCGATCCACTCACTTGGGATCGATGACATGTATCAACCAAGTCAGCGAGCCTGACCACCCGATCCCGTTAGTCGACTTTTACGACAAGCATAGTCGCCTTTTACGGCAAGCATGGGTTACTGAAGACCTATTCTATTCCGGAGTCTTCACGAGTCTTGTCAAGAAGAAGTTAGTCAACACCAGTTGGCCAACTTACAAATCAAACTATTATTAACAAATATGAAAAATATGTATGTACATGCCTATGCCCTTCACACAATATCTTCGTTGAACACCCTCAATAATTCACATAAGCTTTGTTTGTTTCTTTTTTAACGCTAAACTCAGCAATGTCCCAGCTATATGCAAGGTTCTGTAAAAAATGGAGTCTGCACCAGACAATCCACTGATTGACATCATGAGCATCGTTTTAAGCAATTGGAATTTGATGACATGCATCAACCAAGTCTGCGAGCGTGACCAACTGATCCCGTTACAGTATTTCCATTGGCATTTTTATATGCTGGTCACATGGGCCGGTAGCAGATGAAAATACCGGTCCTGGCTAAATTTAAAGGTCCCATGACTTTTATTGCATCCATATTGAATTAATGATAGTGATTTGACACGTCCAACTTTTGTCAATATTAAAGTCATGGGAAATACTGTACTGCTATCAGAAGTTCAGAACAGCCTGTAGTCATTCAACATTTTGGTGCCTGTGTCATGATGAAAAGGAGTGAGTGAGTGAGTGAGTTGGGTTTAACGCCGCTTTTAACAGTATTCCAGTTATATCGCGGCGTGTCAGCTTAATGTGGGAGGAAAGCCCGAAGTGATGCAGGTCTCAGACATTTACCACTTCGGTGAAACCCATGAGCACGGGTATGGTGCTGACAAACCTAGAAACATAATCGAGGCGAACCGGGATTCGAACCCACAATCATAGGTTTCTGGCGTGCCCAAGGGACGCAACTCTGCACAGCGAAGCGCGGCGCCTAAGACGACTGGGCCACCCGTGCCCCCTGATGAAAAGGAAAATAGTGTTTAAATTTGCATTTACTTTTTGAGTTTTAATGCTGACCTGCAAGAATAATCTCAAAAACTGTGCACCAAAACACGGTTGTTCATTCATGAAAAGACAGCGAAAGTACAAACCAATCAGGTGATATCAAACAGGTGTTGTCACTCGAGTGCAATGGAAGCTGACAGATGAGGCAATGGAATTCATGCTATTTATTGAGTTTTTTTTGTTCTATCGGAATACAGTTTGGATTTGTTGACTGGTATTTCGGTTTTACGTGATTTCGGTGATCAGCTGATAATGTTTCTAGACATGGGGAGAACATCATGTCATTGGAAAACTTGAGTTTATTAAAAATATAAGTAAATTTTGGGAGCCATGCTTTACCGGCGCGTGCTATAACTGAGTAGTGAGTGAGTATGGTTTTACGCCGCTTTTAGCAATATTCCAGCAATATCACGACGGGGGACACCAGTCACACATTGTACCCATGTCGGGAATCGAACCCGGGTGTTCGGCGTGAGGAGCGAACGTTTTAACCACTAGGCTACCCGACCGCCCCTATAACTGAGTAAGCTCTATATTGAAGAGTACAATAGCGAGGGAACACTGTGTAGCTGAATTCTACTGTTGAACACACCACCTTGTATGAACATGAATTTATGTTTTAATCCCTCGGAATAGCAGCAATTTCATCTTAACTGTTAAAAAATAGGATCATCTTCCCAAGGCAAGGGAGTTAATTGACTGTAAAATTCCAGTTTCCACCCTTGACCAAACTAGTCTTGAATTTCTGATCGAAGCGCCATCAATGGCTATTACGAGTTATGTCCCTTCTACATCCCTCCATCTTCCCGAGGCAAGGGCGTTAACTGACCATGAAAGTTAACACACCAGTTAACCACTTGACCTATCCTGCCCCGCCAACCTTAATTAGGAACATATGCATGATACTAACCTGTGTTGACTCTAATGGTAGGTTTAGGAATCGTGGATGTGACAGGAACAACTGCATGATACTAACCTGTGTTGACTCTAATAGTAGGTTTAGGAATCGTGGCTGGTAGGAACATATGCATGATACTAACCTGTGTTGACTCTAATAGTAGGTTTAGGAATCGTGGCTGCGGCAGGAACATATGCATGACACTAACCTGTGTTGACTCTAATAGTAGGTTTAGGAATCGTGGCTGTGGCAGGAACATATGCATGATACTAACCTGTGTTGACTCTAATAGTAGGTTTAGGAATCGTGGCTGCGGCAGGAACATATGCATGACACTAACCTGTGTTGACTCTAATAGTAGGTTTAGGAATTGTGGCTGTGGCAGGTTTACTGATGATTGTCACTGTGGGTTGAGCTTTTGATACCACTGTGAGTCCATGACTAGATGAACTGGAGCCCTTTGCTGAAAGGGAGAATTAAAGATATGTCATGAATCACCTGCCCCGAATGGGATTCCTACACTATCTAGCAATCCAAAATCCTAAACATGCACATAAACATTCTATTGACATTTTCTTAAAGAAGAGGTCAAATGAGGTTTAATATCGCTGCACTTATATAGCGATGTGTGTGCGTGTGCGCGAGTGCATAAGTTTTTTGCTTGTACGAGTCCAGACTAATGCCGATACGATGTCGCAGCTAAACATGAACACCCCACTCAGACACAGTGAGTGAGTATGGTTTTACGCCGCTTTCAGCAATATTCCAGCAACATCACGGCGGGGAACACCAGAAATGGGCTTCACACATTGTACCCATGTCGGGAATCCAACCTGGGTCTTCAGTACAGTATACTGACTCCGAGCCGACCAGTCCTTGTTTTAGCCACTTTATTGAACCCTGGACCTTCCGTTTTCAGGGCAGAAGCTCTACCACTAGACCACAGAAGCCGTCTCTTTGAGAAAAAAACATATGAATAAAGATCTGTTCAGGCCATAATAAATTAATTGACTTAAAATCCCACCCGCCCCACGACCAAATGTGATATTGCTGGGTCGTATGTCGGATTCCAATCAAAATGCACATGGCAGGCAAATTGAAAGAAAACATTATGTCGTTCAAAATTTGGACTGTTTATAGTTTTGATTTTCTTAAATTTAGAGGGATTTTAACATTGCACTCAATGAAGCAATGCAAAATATTACAGGCTCTTCCCATTACTGGTCCAGTAGTGTTATCAGAGAGTGAGTGAGTGAGAGGGGTTTAACACCGCAACAGTATTTCAGTTATATCACGGCGTGTCAGCTTAATGTGGGAGGAAAGCCCAAAGTGATGCAGGTCTCAGACGTTTACCACTTCAGTGAAACCCACGAGCACGGGTATGGTGCTGACAAACCTAGAAACATAATCGGGGTGAACGGGGATTCGAACCCACAATCACAGGTTTCTGGCGTGCCAAAGGGACGCAACTCTGCACAGCGAATCGCGGCACCTTAGACGACTGGGCCACCCGTGCCCGCTGTTAGCAGTGAAATACAATACAACATTAGTCATACCTCTTAACAACATGACTTTAGCTGCTTATATTAGTCTGTACTAATGCCTGTTGTATAGTGCTAGCCCACTGAGATATGATGATGCAGGTAAACATGGATACCCCTCTCAGACACAGTATACTGACTCTGAGCCCACCGGTCCTTGTTTTAGCCCCTTAATGCTGAGCCCAAGACAGGGTAACAACAAGTACCATCTTGTGACGACTTCTTGTATGAGGTGGACGAGGATGAAGCCACTCCACACACAGACACTCTATTCACTACACCATGGAGGGGGGTACTTTCAGACAGGGTGAACACTTACACTGCATGGGAGCTATGCTGATTCTCGGAGAACCGGAAGAAAACTGTGGTAGCCCAATCTGGATTCTTGACTGAAACAGTGAAAGTAGAGGTCGAGATAAGCTATGTGTTTGTGTAAAATATGCATTAAATAAACTGAAATATGCAGAAAATAAAATCCTAATGCATCAAATATGCAGCGAAAAATATTGAAATAAAATCAATGCATATATCATAACTTTTAGATAAAACGATTGCTTATATTACAACTGTTAGATAAAATGAGTGTATCACCTGATCGCGAAAACCACTTACCGACAGTTACAATCAGAAATGCTTGCGCGACAAACATACAGATAGATGCCAATTGAAAAGCACATTGTGCCAAGTCAATGTACATATTGTACCGTAAACACTCGCTGATTGGTGATTTGAACAAAGCCCCTTTCTTACAATACTAGGTTTTGCAAACAAAAAAGGCTTCCCGTGGTGATTACACTACTATTCAAATAGTTTTAAATGAATTAATGGGATTGTTACGAAACAGGTTTTAAGTTAAATACCTAAATGCAAGAAACAGCTATTATGATGGCGGTCTGTAAATAATTGAGTCTGGACCAGACACTCCAGTGATTGACATCATGAGCATCGATCCACGGAATTGGGATACGATGACATGTATCAACCAAGTCAGCGAGCCTGACCACCCGATCCCGTTAGTCGCCCCTCACGACAAGCGTAGTCGCCTTTTATGGCAAGCATGAGTTGCTGAAGACCTGTTCTACCCTAATAGTCCCCACTAATTTTTGCCAGTCCCAACTTTCAACAAATAAAAGAAAATACGAAAATTATTTTGTTTCAATTCTTTCAACATAATGTTCAGTGCAAAGATGTCATTTCTGAAGTTTTTTTATTTTGAGCTATACGTCATTCATACAAACTTCAGTCACAATTTTCTCTTCTTTTTTTAATATTTCGAATATGGATATTTAACCTAGAAATAGACAAGGGGAAACCCTGTTGGTAACAGACAAGCTGACTTTGTTCGAATGTACTTATAAATGTACTTATATGAATATCACCAATGTTTTGTTCAACAACAAAGATTTCTAAGGTACTTTATTTGCCGGTCCACAGGGACTGGCAGTCACATGAATAACCGGTCCAAGCCTAATTTTACCGGTAGAATACTGGTAAACGGGAACGCTGGATACATGTATACCTTAATGACATCATGCAATGTACACATCAAAAGATTTCACGCAATTCCTCCCATGTGAGGCTTAGAACTTATCAATCAACCCACTTATTTTGCTCCAGGCCTAATCTAAACTGGAATCGAGAGCTGAGTATTGACTGAAAGCTCACGCTATGATACATATCACAATATGGTAAATGAGTGAGTACCGTTATACGCCACTTTTAGCAATATTCCAGTAATATCAACGCGGGGACACCGGAAATGGGCTTCACACATTGTACCCATGTGGGGAATCAAACCCGGGTTCTTCTGCATGATGAGCGACCACTTTAAAACAAGGCTACCCCACATGATAAGGACTGAAGATACAACCGCACTATACACAACAAATTGCAAGAAATGATGAAATCACTTAAGAACAACTCTGAAAAAAACACAAAATATCAAACACTTCTAAAAAACAAAGAAATGGTTATTATGATTATAAAAATGTAACAAATAATAACAGCTATTAAATGGACACAATATGTTATCTGTTTGAAACCCGGAAACCCAAATGCAGGCTTAAATACAGCAGGTGAGTCCTCTATTACACCATCTCCTAGAGTTCCGCCATACATACAGGTGGCGCTAAGCCACTTCCGCCATTAAGGGAAGAAACTTCTGTTAACAGCATATCGGGATCTCACAAACTAACAATCCACGTATTGTCATCTTCCCGAGGCAAGAGAGTTAACTGACAATAAAAGTCCAGTTTCCACCCTTGCCGAACTAGGCTGGTATTATGGAGTTACATTTTGGCTGGACTTACGAGTCTATGCATAGTCCAATCAAAATCGCGCACCAAAATCGAAATCCTGTTCATACAGTGTCATGCAGATTTCGGTCGACTGCAGGATTTGCAAAACCGCTAACTCGTTGTCAACAGATATTTTCTAATTTTTTTCATGCTTTTAATCAAGGTGCTCACGTGATTTGATGCACTTCGCGATGTAAAACTCGTTTAATCACAATATAGATCTTGATTATCAATCAGATCGTCTTGACTGGGCGCCACCGTTTTGTTTGAAGCAAATGCAAGTGATACGAGAGGTTGAATCTGATTGGTCAATAGGAGCGGCATAGAAGGGACATAACTCGTAATAGCCACTGGTGGAGCTACGATCGAGCCCAGGAATTCCAGCCTAATTCGGCAAGGGTGGATACTGGACTTTTAAAGTCAGTAAACTATCTTGCCTCGGGAAGATGTACCGCAACACGCATGGGCAGAAAAGCTTACCTTCTTGAGAGTCCTCAGCCTGTAGTTGGGAGCACTGAGACAGTACCTGTCTGGTGGCAGGCGTGGCAAGGAGTAGGGCTTGATGAGGGGCAGCTGCTGACCGTTCTTGTGTCGTGCTATCTCCATCAGCATCTGTAGAAAACAACCAGGATGAAGCAATGTTACACAGGAGCTTGGAGTGAGTGAGTGAGTGAGTGGATATGGTTTTATGCAATTTTAGCAACATCAGCAATATCACGGTGGGGGACACCAGAAATGGGCTTCACACAATGTACCCATGTGGGGAATCGAACCTGGGTCTTCGGTGAGGTGAAATGGGGATTAACGGTCCGGCCAAGATTATTGCACTTATATAGCGATGTGCATGTACGTGTGTGTGTTTGTGTGGCTGCTTGTACTAGTCCGGACTCATGCCAATTTATAGTGCTAGCTCACTGAGATACCATGCCGCAGTTTAACATGAATACCCCACTCAGACACAGTATACTGACTCTGAGCCGACCAGTCCTTGTTTTTGCCCCTTAATGCTGAGCGCCAGACAGGGTAACAACAAGTACCATCTTTAAACGTATTTTGGTATGCCGCGGCCGGGGATCAAACCCCGGACCTTCTGCTCTCCGGGCGGATGCTACCTACGCTTTTCCACTTGCTACCCCACTTCCCCTACACAAAATGTTGGACTGACTCTTGCGGAAATGTTCTTCCAGTATGCATAAATGTATTGAATGGACACAAAATAAAAGATACATTACGTCCCAAGGGATGCGCAATAATATTAATAATACCAAATTCTTGACAAGAATGAAGTTCTTGTAATTACAGTAATCACTAAATCTTACAGTACACTGCACCATTGCATTAATTAACCATTGTTAGCAGGACCTCATATTTCCTGTAGGGACCTTTGAAATATAGTTGACATGTTTCGGGGTCATCTGGACCCCTAGTTTTGTAGATCAAGGGACCTGTGAAGATCGGGGGTAGAAAAGGTCTTCAACAACCCATGCTTGACATATAAGGCGACTATGCTTATTGTAATAGGTGACTAACGGGATCGGGTGGTCATTTGCGAAGATCGATGCTCATGATATTAATCACTGGATTGTCTGGTCCAGACTTGATTATTTACATATCATATAGCTGAATGTGGCATTACCACAAACAAACAAATTGTAGGTCAAGGTAAAACCTTGACGCAGCTTTCAATATACCGTATACGACGTAATAAGCGCCCCGCTCCAGTAAGCGCCCACGACGATACTTGCTAATATATTTGCAAGTGAACAATCCCAATTAGAACCCCTTCCAACTGATCAATGTACGCAAGACTTATTTTTTCGCGTTTAATACACTACCGTGTGTTATATTCACCCTTAATTATGGGCAATTTAATTCTGGAAAAATATATCTGTCGTACATAAACATTTCAGGCTGTCAGCATAAACCATGAAATTTATCTTTCGACTCTGTTTTTTTCCACCAAAATAATATTCTAATAACAGCCCCCCATTCCTAATTTTGAGAGCGCCCTGGGTGCTTATTATGTTGAATTCGGTAATTCAATTTCAGCATGATTTGGGTGGACAAGTGAAGCAGGTGTTGGTCGCTTACCATGCTTACCACTCCGGTATATCCAACTAGCATGGGTATTGTGCTGATAAACCTTGGAACATAATAGGGAGAATTATGCAGGTTTATAGTGCTAGCCCACTGAGATGCCAAGCTGCAAGACCCGTGAAGATCCAGGGTCTTCAGCAACCCATACTTGCCATAAAGGGTGACTCTGCTTGTCATAAGAGGTGACTAATGAGATTGGATGGTCAGGCTCACTGACTTGGTTGAAGCATGTCATCGATCCCAATTGCGTGGATCGATGCCCATGATATTTACTCAATTATTAACAGACCGCCCTCATGTAGCTGGAATATTGCTGAGTGCGGTGTTAAACAACAAACCAACCAACCATGCTGCAGTTTAACATGGACACCCCACTCCGACTCTTACTCATTTCACTGACTCAGATCCAGCCAATCATTGTTTTATGTCAATGCTGAGAGCCAGGCAGAATGACAACAAGTATCATCTTTTAATGTCCTTTGGTATGATGCGACCACTCTCCGGTCAGAGACTCTATCCACTAGGCCATGGAGGTGGTCTACAGATACTTACATCTCTTGGTGGAGGTGTAGTGAAAGAGTGATCCATCTTGCACTGAATGGCTAGCTTGACATCATCTGTGTCCAGGTTCTTCTTGTTGGCATGAGTTGAGTAGACTTTAGCATCATCCAGGATGTCAGTGATGTATCCTGAAAGCAACAAAACAAAACATAAACAGAGCTCCAGATAAGCTGCATATCTGCGTAAAATACGCATCAAAAATGCAGAAATACGCAGTAAAATAAAATCCAAGTGTATCAAACACGCAACGACATTACAGATACGCTACAAAAATAAAACTTGTGCGTATCATCAAAATATTGTGAAGTAACCCTTCGTAAATTAGCAACTTATTTTGAAATTATAAACGGGCATTCCGTCAACCTTGCCAAACTCCACGATGACAGTTACATCATGATCATTTGCCATCACACTTTCTTGTGGAAGTATCGTGGTATTTTTGAGTCCTACAAAGCTCTCGAACGCACACGACACCAGTTTGCAGGGACTAGAGGAATAGGTGTTTTTAAATATTTAACTTAAATACCCACATGTGTAAAAACTAGTGGGTAACAGAAATTTGAATACCCAGATAGAATTACTGATACCCAATGATTTAAAAATGCATGTGTAAAATACCCACAGCAACAAAAGCTTATCTGGAGCTCTGATAAACAATCGATACAAACATACAACCCTGTCCCGTCCATGACATTTTGTTGGTCTTTTGTTTAACGCCACACTCAGCAATATTACAACTATATGACACACATCACTGTTTGTTTGTTTAACGCTGCACTCAGCAACATTCCAGCTATATGACGGCGGTCTGTAGATAATTGAGTCTGGACCAGACAATCCAGTGATTGATATCATGAACAACAATCCTCGCAATTGGGATACAATGACATGTGTCTACCAAGTCAGCGAGCCTGACCACCCGATCCCATTAGTCACCTCCTACAACAAGCATAGTTGCCTCTTCGGTTGCTGTAGACCAGTTCTAATCCGTATCTTCACGGGAAAATGTCCATGAAAACACACACATCCAACATGCCCAAACATTACTACTTGCATTCTTATCTAGGACGGATCTATGATCCTGGCCCTGTTTCTTCATATTTCAAGCTGAAAGTCAGATTAGTGAGTGAGTTGGGTTTAACGCCGATTTTAACAGTATTCCAGTTATATCACGGCGTGTCAGCTTAATGTGGGAGGAAAGCCCGAAGTGATGCAGGTCTTAGACGTCTACCACTTCAGTGAAACCCACGAGCAAGGGTATGGTGCTGACAAACCTAGAAACATAATCGGGATTCGAACCCACAATCATAGGTTTCTGGCGTGCCCAAGGGACCCAACTCTGCACAGCGAATCGCGGCACCTTAAACAACTGGGCCACCCGTGCCCCCCGAAAGTCAGATGAGAGTTAACAGGCACGAATGCACTTCAAAGGTTACCTTCCACTATATTTGTAAGGCCATCTTTCAACAAATACATAGTATTTTTCAGTAACTTTGGTAGCTAAAAATTACATTTACTTACAAAATCAGTCAATCATTTTCCTTAGTAACCAGGTAACAATTTCTAGGTTTTTAATATAATAATAATAATAATAATTAAAAAAAAATAAAAATAATAATGTGCTCATGGCGATACCGGATGCTTCCGCTCTACGAAAAGGGTTTAATTGAATGATTTTGTAAGTAAATGAGATTTTTAACTACCAAAGTTACTGAAAAATACTATGTACTTGTTAAAAGATGTCCCAGAGGAACATCACTGATGGGTTACGCATGCCACAATGGAATTTTATATCGAATTGTCCCAATTTCCGATGTTGATTATGTTTATGAATTGCTTATAGTCAGTTTTGAGATCTAGTCATATTAAACTATGCAAATGCAACGAGAATCATTTTTGTCTACTTATTTTGAGCTTTATCACCCATTTTGTAATATTGTAATGCTGTTACATGCCACTATATTAATAACATCCAACAATCATGGTGGATATAGGTATCTAGTAAAATGCATGTGTATCACATTGTATTCAACGACAGCAAGTGACTGCATGTTGCACTGCACAGTTCAGGGTCTCATACCACAATGCAATTTCCGGCAGTTCCTTTAGCCAATAGTCCGCAACCGTGTGTAGTAAACAGGGGTGGAAACTAACATTGTTCGTCCACTGGTCCTTATAATGATAACAAGTAGCAAAAGCCTTATAAAGGGCAAATTTCTACTAGTCCTTATGAAACCTTAACCATTGGGGAGTTTGACGAGGACTATAGGACTAGTGCCAATTTCTAACGCTGAGTAAAGATAAAATTTCATCACTCTACTACAAGACGTTTTACCTTAATTTTAATTCATGCAGATTCATTGGTGAAAGCACCCTTTGATGCCAAATTTCACTAAAAAGCCCTGTGGGTCCAGTAAGCATTACTAACAAATGTCCATACATTAACACACTAAGAACCGAACAGGTTCGGTCTGGTCGACTCTAAAGGTTTTGGCACCGACTGCTTTAGCGCTAAGAATGGACCCATGGTTGGCACTGGACCAGTGGATCATACTGGATGATCATGATTTTGTTTGTTGTTTAACTCCGCACACAGCAATATTCCAGGTATATGACGGTAAATAATTGAGTCTCGACCAAACAATCCAGTGATTGACATCATGAGCATCGATCCACGCAATTGGGATACGATGACATGCATCAACAAAGACAGCGAGCCTGACCACCCGATCCCGTTAGTGGCCTCTTACGACAACCATAGTCGCCTTTCGTAAAAGGAACAACCAGGCCTATCGATCTAATCAATGACGTCTGCATACGATGACATGATCTACATTCATTTGCGACATGGAAGGTGACTCGGGCATCTATTGTCACTTGTAGTTCCCGCGTGTTGGAAGGATATTGATATTAATCACTGACCATTACCCGATTTCGTGATGAACAAGGACTGTGAATCAAAACAGTGAAAACAATGCTTCATAACGTGGCAGGACGAAGCCTATTTTGTTTCAGTTTGGTACTTACGGTAGGTAAATTCAAGCATTTGATTAATCAACCTTGGTTCGTAGTCTAAAACGCCCATATCTTTCAAAATTGCTGCCATTACTTGAGCGTCCCTCGGCGAGCTTTTCGCCGGAGCCGCCATCTTTACAATAGTATAGGTGGCGCTTTGGGGAGACAACTCCCAACTCGACAACAGCCAGAAAGTAAATCGTAATGCTTTTGCAACATCAGCTGAGTTTTTAAAAATCAATATGTATTCTGTAATATAAAAATATTGACCTGTTATCTTGCTTCATGTGTAATTTCACCGCTTTTATGAAAATCAGAGTGATAATGTGTATTTTGTGTATCAGGGACGACGAGTTTCTGTTGAGATTCTTAGATCCGGGATCGAATCATAGGTTTTCGGCAGCCCAGGCTTGCTGTAAAAGGCGACTATTTGCTTGTCATGAGAGGCGACTAACGGGATCGCGGTTGGTCAGGCTCGCTGAGTTGGTTGATACATGTCATCGCATCCAAATTGCGTGAATCGATGCTCATCCATGATATCAATCACTGGGTTGTCTGGTCCAGACTCGATTATTTACAGACCGCCGTTATCTAGCTGGAGAGGCGGTCTGATAGCCTAGTGGTTAAAGCGTTCGCCCGTCACGCGGAAGACCCGAGATCGATTCCCGACATGGGTACAATGCGTGAAGCCCATTTCTGATGTCCCCGTGATATTGCTGGAATATTGCTAAAAGCGGCGTAAAACCATACTCACTCACCCATATAGCTGGAATATTGCTGAGTGAAATTAATGTTTTTTAAGTTCCGAGCTTTAGCGATGAACTTAAAACATTAATTTCACGAGTGACATATTTTCCGTAATCACTCGTACCGAGTTGGTTATTCTATTTATTACCCATATTCAAATTAAAGACATGTTTAAAGAAAACAAACAACGATCAACCGTTGTCGATCAAAAATCAGCTGTTTTGTATCAATCCGCGTGTGAAAAAACACTGTCAACTCATTTCAACCGCATTACTAAATTAACGTGTTGTTACGCGTGAAACATATAGTTCTGTTAAAAAAAATATAAAGATCACATTATTGCAGTTATATTTCTGTCCGATTTACACAGCGTACACTATCTAGCATTGATAAAGAAGACAGGTTTCCAAAAAGGTTCATCAGGTTTTTTACTCAAGATCTCGTCACTGACAGACAGCCCCCGTCGTGCATCGGCAGATACATATGCATTTCACATTGAGAAGAGGAAACACGGAAAACCTGTCAATTTTTTTATGTCATTTGACAAAAATGCCAAACCTATAACACCAACTTAGACGGAATGTACAGAAGTCTTGTTTGGTAGAGAAAAGTTACGAAAAGGAGGTAAACTTTGAAAAGTACGATTGCTGTCACAGTGTCGGAATGAATGACCCGACCTGACCCAGATATGAGACAGCCGAAACCAGGAATGACAAGAGAACCGGTTACAGTTTAATCCGGATAACAAGTTTAATGAACATCGTGTGTGATTTGAGTCAAGTGTCACTGATGGGAAACATGTGCATGTGGGATTTCAGGAGGATTTGTCAAACGCGGAGTGGACACAGTCAGATGACGGGAGTTTGTTGATATTTTGATGTGATTCATAATGGTCGAATACCTGTTGACAGACAAACACGGTATCTGGAGACTTGGTGCTAAGCTGTCCGCATTCACGGAGTTCATTTAGTTCAATATCGGACACAGGATCAGCTCGCTGGGGTAAGTTTTCTTTTCCTTGTATTTTTAATTATTTTTGTTTTGATTTCAAAACCTCTCCGAGTTCAGCAAAGTGCATCGATTTCGCAACCAGGGCCCACTTGCACAAAGCGACCTTAGCGCTAATTTTTATTGTAAGCCTATGTTAAAGTATTGGAGTTACGATTATCTTAGCGCTAAGATCGTTTTGTGCAAGTGGGCCCAGATGCTGGTAATCTTGTCGCTAAGGAAACACTCGAAGCTACCCTTGATCTCCTTCAAAGTAGACAGTTCGAATTCTGAACTGTCTGATGTGCATGCCGAAATGATAAATTTGCAAATAATAATGTTTAGTTGTACCTTACCTGTGTCATTAACCCTCATAGTCACGTGGTGCCCGGACGTCAGTCAGCCTGCATACCGCTCAGCGCGTACTTTGCAGACGTCGCGGTTACGCAAAACGTATACATTGTATAAAAAACTGTCACGTTCTTATTTCTTCACACAACGTTACAAAATTGTACGAAATAATGTACCTTTATGATGTCTTTCGGAAAGTCTAAATGTTGTTGCAAAATGAATTTGTTTATATTCTCATGCCATCGTTGAAAGTGTGAGTAGATCTAGTCATATTTTTCGTGTTTTTCTTACCTTTATAAATTTGAACTAAGTTCATGTCAACTTGTCAAGTTTAGTCTTTTTCATTGTGTTTTCATTTGCATTGGCAGTTATTGATGTCACCATCGTTCACAAAGGCAAACCTGTCTATACAAAGTCCGGTTTTGGAATTCGGGTGGTCGAAGAATTCATCAAACAGCAAGCCCTCTAACACAGACGCAAAGGACTTGGTGGTGATGATCTTGGCGCCCTAGAAACAGTTTCTGGCAACATCACAATCTGAATCTTGGAACTTCAATCTGGCCATATGCAGTTTTGACAACAAAGACATTAAATGTGTTCAGAGGTTGCATTATACGAATAACTTTTCATGTCAAACAGATCTCCGTCCGCTTTAACGAGGTCATTTACTTTGACAGGTCTCAAATGGCCAGCCATGTTTGTTTACAAACGGGGACGTAGTTTTGGTTTTTACTGTAAAATGAAAATCATGTGAAATAAATGAAAAAAATGATAATGTGAAATCATGTTGTTAATATGAAACTATGTGTCTTGTCTTAAAAATCTCGAAACAGTGAGATTGTAGCACGTAAAATATCTGAAGGGAAAGGCGTGGATTTGTGAATAAGTGGGATGAGAAAAAAATAGTTCCGTTGTCCAATGAAAATTTATCTTTGTTCCACTGACTAATCAGCTTCGAGAATCACTAATTGCACACTGTGCAAATGTCAAAAGGTTATTACACTGCATATTTGAGCCCATATGGGTAATAACAAGCGATATCTACAGTGTAGATATCGCTGCAATGAAATTGCATCACAATGCTTTGCAGACCATTGTGACGTCATTGTTACGATGTCATTGGTTAATGGTGACGTGCATTGTAGAGCGAAAGCCTTGCAAAGCTTGCTTAGTTTTCTTTAGGTGTGCCCACCTCATGTTAGTTTCCGAGTTGTCGTGATTATATGCTTTCAACGCCTGTCATATGTTCGAGTGATGTATTACGATGTAAACAAACTGCTTGAGCACATACAACGCCATATTTTGTTTTAAGGATGTTGTCGGTGATTCCGTAATTCACATGGACAACCCACTCAGAACACTGAACTCAACCCATGCCGCTTCACCCAAAGCGCCAAAGTTTCTGCGTTTTATTTAGTCATGGTAGATTGGAGATAAACATACGTGTTTCTAATGTAGAGCTAGGTTACCTGTAGATTTAATCTCGCAAAACTGAATTTGGAACCAAACGTGCAGCGTGAGGTTTCAAATGTTTAATGTAGCGGAGATATAGAGAATCTCACCGGAGTGTCTTTTGATATCAAATATATCAAGACGAGTTGATAAAAGTGGAAAAATTCCGAGGCTTGCCGAGGATTTTTTCCACTTTTATCAACGAGTGTTTATTTTTATTCATCATCCAAAATCATTCTTCCACCTTTTTAATTTCTAGACAGTAATTAGCAGTGTCTTCAGTGTAAAAAGTACTGCTAACAGCTTCAGTAGCAGAGCCATTAGTGATGTCATTTGATTGTGACGTCATGGTAACCAGTAATGTCACAATGGTCTGCCAAGCATTGTGATGTAATTTCATTGCAGCGATATCTACAGTATAGAGAATCTCACCGGAGTGTCTTTTGATATCAAATATATCAACACGAGTTGATACAAGTGGGAAAACTCCGAGGCTTGATATATTTGATATAAGAACAAAAAAAAACGTTTTCAGTTTGTAGAGAGAAATAATTAAGCAGTGTCTTAAGTGTAAAAAGTACTGCTAACAGCTTCAGTAGCAGAGCCATTAGTGATGTCATTGGATTGTTACGTCATCGTAACAATGACGTCACAATGGTCTGCAAAGCATTGTGATGCAATTTCATTGCAGCGATATGTACATTTATTACCCACGTGGTGAAGATACAGGTGGTAAGATACTAAATCCGTACGTCACACGTGTGTCGTACAAGGTTGACCTTGTTTTATTCGTTTTGATTGGATAACCGTGACCTCTGTCACACCGGGACTACTTTTTTCATTCATAAAAAATCGCGAGACGTCATTCATTTTGCGATTACAAGGCAGAACTGAAGAAATTCATGAGAACGAGAGATATTTACAAACACTTTATTTAACCAAACAAGATAGTCACACGCATCAAATTCGGTTTGCATTCTATATAAGTTATGCATAGAGGTCCTACAGACATATAATCGAGCTAGATCTATAAATCATTTTACACCCGACCATTTTCGCAACTTTCAATTTGATTTAACGTAAAAGGATAGGCGTGGTGAAATGAAGTCTGTTTAAAGTATCTGGACAGATATCTAGACTCCTTGGGATGATCCGGCTGTGCCATCGGTGTCCCCCTTGAAGTGTATTTTGTGGCGCTGTTTCGGGAGGTGTTGTTCATGAATGAACGAACACGACAGCACGACCAGATCACTTAAAGTTCACAGTTCCGATACAAATCATTCGAAAACTCCGTGGAAGTGTGCTTGACTTCTGATTTTGTGGCCCCAAACATCCCAAATGTTAACAGTAACATTCCCTATCTCTAGCGTAAAACGCTGTGAGTGGATCGCGGTTGTCTTTTCTTATTCTGGTGGCGACCTTGCCCTTCGATCGTTCGAAGCTGTCACTGACATGCAAGCAGATTTGAGTTTGTTGATTTTCACGTCTTCAGTATATAGGGTTGTACAGTTAACTTGAATGTCTTTGGCGAACAGTCTGATTTCCCTCTTCAAAATGGTACGGACATGATATAAATTCAGCTGATAGATCAAGGAAACCGAACCATTTTGATTGCACAGACGGGACCCCGA